AGGAAGGAGGGCACTGAGGTGTGCGGGCTTCAAGAAGATTCTGTTTGTCTGAGCTAATCATCTGTATTCTCTTTACTCAGACTCCTGAGGAGGAAGAGATTTTAAACAAGAAACGATCAAAGAAAATTCAAAAGAAGTATGATGAAAGGAAAAAGAATGCCAAAATCAGCAGTCTTCTGGAGGAGCAGTTCCAGCAGGGCAAGCTTCTTGGTGAGACAGCCCTTGTGTTGGAGAAGTGGGGCTCACAACAATGCAGTGCACACCCTGTATTATATCCTCTCCTTGTTTCCTTGACTCCCAGTCCTGTGGTCTAGAGGTTTCACCAGGAGAGCTTGGCCTCAGGGCTTCAGGAATATTTCCGGAAGCCCATTTGTAAGTTGAGGGGACTGTCTCAGTGATGAAAACTTTGTCCAGTTCTGCTACTGATTTTTAAGTGGTGATAAAGTATATCTGAGAAGACGTGGGCTTCATGCCTGCCCCCAGGGTGCCAGAACCAACATGAATTCTTTTTAAAGGTAGAGTTGGGCAGGACCTCTGTCATTTTGCTAAGAACCACGTACTCTTTTTGCAGCCTGCGTTGCATCGAGACCGGGCCAATGTGGCCGAGCAGATGGCTATGTGCTAGAGGGCAAGGAGCTGGAGTTCTATCTGAGGAAAATCAAGGCCCGGAAAGGCAAATAAGTCTTCTCTTCTGGTGTAGCTCATGTAATAAAGGTGTTTATTGTTTTATGTTCATGTTGTGTGGATATTTTATAAAGTTGTAAAGACCTTGTGTCCCTTTCCTCTACATACAGACCTGGGTTGTGAGTATGCGGGTAAGATTGTGTGTATGTGGGTTTTTTTTTCTCTCTTGGTACTGGGGATCCAACTCAGGACCTTGTTGCTTGCAAGGCAGGTGCAGCATCACTGAGCTAAATCCCTGGCCCTAAGATTGTATGTGTAGGAATCAGAGAAGGGCCTTGTGAATGTTAAAGCACATACTGTGCCACTAAGCTACATGAGTTTATAACCTGAATTTGTGGATCGTGTGAAAACTGAAGTTGTATTGAATCTTTACTGCATTGCTGAAAGCAGGTTATACAGTTAAGTCCCTAACTCCCTTACCATTCAGAATTTTAAAATGTTTAGGAGACTAGTGATGTTTGCTTCAGAAAGTCTCTTTGTCCTCAACCTGCCCCCATTAGAATTTAGGTGTTATGTATTGCTGGATGTCGTGCACCCCTGTAGTCCCAGCACTTGGGAGGCTGAGGCAGGATCACTGTGACTTTTGAAGGCAGCCTGGGCTACACAGCAAGACCCTGTCTCAAAATACCCAAAAAAAGGTTCCATCTTTGGAAAGCTTTCTAAACTTCAACCCTGACCTGTTTGATTTGCACTTGGATATTACAGGACTTTCCAAGCCCTATTCGAAGATTTATCTCCTCTACCACCAGCCCCTCATCTTCCTCAATTTTACCATCTATAGCAAATAATTGTCTACAAATGATTTTCTGAGACAAGGTCTATGTATTCTGGCCTGACCTGTGGCAATCCTGCTTCAATCTTCCGAATACTGGGACTGTAGGTGTGTACCACCACACCAGGCTTCTGACCGTATTTTTTTTTTTTTTCGACCCATATTCTTGAATTCCACATGTAATGTTGCCAAATGCTGGTTTATTTTGGGTCTTACCTTTTTACAGTGACATCCCACTTCAGTGTTTTTCTGTTGGCCTTACTGTACCAATCATTTTTAAATCTTTGGTTTTTTGGTACTGGGGATTGAACTCAGGACCCTGTGCTCTGTGAGGCAGGCAGTGGAACCACTGAGCTAAATCCCTGGCCCTAAAATCTTTTTTTGATGTTGCCAGGGAATGAACCCCAGTGCCTTCACACTGAACTGTACCCCTAGTGCTTTGGTTTTTTTGGAGACAGGATGTTGCTATGTAGTTAGGCCTGGCCTGAATTCACTGTAGCCTAGATTGACCTAAAATTCAAATGCAGTCCCCCTGCCTCGGCCTCCTGAGTGCTGGCATTATAGGCATGAATCACATTCCCGTAGAGTCTTTTTTTTTTTTTTTTAAGTGGTCATTTTTTTGTTTTTTGAGATAGGGTCTTGTTGATGTAGCCTCACCCTCCCTAGTCCTGGGATTACAGGCCTGCACCTCCACACCCAGCATAGTCATTTATTTTTAAGATGGAGTCTTACTGTACTGTCCAGGCTGATCCTTCCTCAGTCCTGAGTAGCTGGAACTATAGGTGTGTGTTAGTAGGGATGGGCTGTTTTTTGCAATCCTGGAGTTGAACCTGGGCTGAGGACATGCTAGGCAAGTGTTCTACCACTGAGGCAGCACTATACTCCAAGCCCGAAGATCACCTATTTCTTTTCTTGGCATATGTGCTTAAATGTGCACTGGTGAGCTGTATCCCCAACCCCTTTTTAGTGTTTGTTTCTGAGAGTCTCAAGGCCCAGGGTGCCCTAGAATTTGCTCCTTGGTGGGATCACTGGCATGTGCCACTGGGCCCAGCAAGGTTACTTTCCATCTCATGAATGAAAATCCTTGCCAGGTGTTAATGGTGCTTGACGTGACCGGCCGTGACTGGCCTCGCTGAATGTAATGAGTCTGCCATTCCTGAAGGTAGAGGCTCTTTCCTATGAATACCCAGGTTGGCTCATGCCCTCCAGGTCTCTGCCTGGTTGAAGAATGGATGTTGTTCTCTTGTTTTGAGACAGTCTCACCATAGTTCAGGCTGGTCTCAAATTTGGGATGACCTGCCTCAGCCTCTTGAGTGCTGGGATTACAGGCATGAGCCACCATACCCAGCAGTTTGGTTTTGTTTTTCCAGTTTCTTGCTGTGTTCTCTAGGCAGTTCTCAGACAAGAGGTCCTTTGGCCCCCAGTGTATGATCACAGAAACAAGTCACCCACCCTTTCCATACGGTCTCAGTTTACCCATTTTTTTGTTTTTTCGGTACCAGGAATGAACTGAGGACTTTGAGCTTACAAAGCGGGCACAGTACTGATGAGCTAAATCCCCAGCACAGTTTACCCTTTTTTTTTTTTTTTTGGTACTGGGGATCAAAATCGGGTCCTTGAGCTTGCTAGGCAGGCGGTGAAACCGCTGAGCTAAATCCCTGGCAGTTTACCCATTTTTTATCCTTCCCCTTAATCTGACATAAATTATGCTCATTTGAATTGCTTGTTTCTTTGGTGTTCTTTCCCATAAGAGGAAAGGTGTTTCCTATCCCCCATCCGGAGAAGGATATTTGCTTCCTGGCCGTGTCTGCAGCACCTAGAAAGCTGTATGGTAGTATTTTGAGACAGGCAGGATCTCAACTAAATTGCCCAGGTTTGTCTCCTTCCTGCCTCCGCCTCCTCAGTGCTGGTATTACAGGTGTGTGCCACCATGCCCAGCTCTGCCCTTTCTTTTTGGTACCCGGCTGGCATGTTGCCATTGAGCTAAATCCCCTGCCCTGTAATTTCTTCTATTTAGAGCTCTACCAGGCTTAGTTCTTTTGCAGTCCTGCTTCAGTCTAAGTGTTGGAGAACCATAACACCTGATTCTCCTCCTGTACCTCTAATGGGTCAGTAAGATAAGTAGATTCTCTCTGGAGTCTTGAATCTACCCACTCTCCATTGCCTTTGTGATGACTGTTCTCAACCTAGAGCAAGGCTGTCTTCCCCTGTAAAACTGGAAAAAGCCTCTATGCTTTCTGTTTTTGTTTGAGAGTCTACTCCAGTTCAGGCTGGCCTTGAACTCACTAGCACAAGCTGGTCCCAAATAGCGATCCTTTTCCTCAGCCTCCCAAGTGCTGGGATTACAGACATGCGCCACCACGCCCAGCTCAGCTCAATGCCTTCTAAATGAATGGCTGTCATGGTGAAGTGCTACTGTCTCCACATGACAGATTTGGAAACAGGCTTAGAAATGTTTAGCATGCAGGATGGGCAGATAAAGCATTTGTCCAAAAATGTTTTGTATCCCCAGGGGTGATGGCATACCCCTGTAATCCCAGCATCTAGGAGCCTGAGGCAGAGGATCACCATGAATTGGAGGCCAGCCTGAACTATGGTACATAGTGAGATGTATCCCCCCAAAAACAACAAAAATGTCCTGTATCCTACAGTCAAGTAGATGGAAAGAAGCAAAGCCGGAATTAGCATCTTCCTAGCTGGAGACTGGCACATGCCTGTGACCCCAGCACTTTAGGAGGCTGAAATTGGATCACAAGTCCAGGCCTATGCTGGGTGTGCTGGTGCATACCAGTAATCACAGCAATCCAGAGGCTGAGACGGGAGGATCCCTGTGAGTTGTAAGCCAGCCTGGCCTACAAAGTGAGACCCTGTTGCAAAAAGAAAAAAGGGTGGTGGGACAGTCCTACAGTGCCCAGCACTGGGGAGGCTGAGGCATGAGGATCGTCCCAAGTTCAAGACATTCTGAACTACACAGCGAGTCTTTAAAAAAAAAAAAAAAAAAGCATGGTGCCTCTACAAGGCTTTGATCTTTTGGAGTCTTCCAGAGTGTTGGAGAAGCATGACACCTGAAATGAAAGCACTCTAGAAGGCTGAGGTAGGAGGATTATGAATTTCATCCCCCCTTGAGCAATTTAATGGTTTAGGGAGGCCCTGTCTCAAAAGGCTGGGGATGTAGCTCAGTGTGGGGTCCCTTGGTTCAATCCCCACTACTGCCCACTTCCCCAAATAAGGGCTGCGATGTAGCTCCTGCAAAGACCCTGGTTTCAAGGGAGCGGGGGCAATGCCTCCCTCTTTCTCTTCCTCCTTTGTTCTAGCATTAGTTATCCTTTCGCCTTAACAATTTTGTCATTTACCACCACACACACACACCGCCCTGTTACTGGGGATTGAGTGAGGGGCCTTTGCACTGAGCTACATAACCAGTCCCTTTTTTTTAAAAGTTTAAGAATATTTTTATTTTATTAATTTTTGCGGTGCTGGGGACTGAACCCAGGGCCTTTATAGGGAGCTACAACCCCACCCCCACCCCCACCCCCGCCTTGGCTCAGGGCTTGCCCTGCATCTTCTTTCAAGGGTCCTCCCTAGAGGCTTCTCAAGGCACCCAAGGAAAAGCTGCTCAGCACTGGCGGGCGGGACTTGGGGCCACCTGGAGGGAGCCAGGTGGCGTCTGTCCTGGACCGGCGTCAGGGCTCCAAGGCCTCCTCCCCTGATTCCTCCGCCTCCTCCTCCTCTATAGGGTCCGCTGTCTCGGGGTCACCGCCCTCCTCCGCCCGGAAGCGCAGTAGATGTGGGGTCCGGGGGGCGCCGCGCGCTCTTCCTAAATTGCGCAGGCTGATGGCGGGGGAGGGTGCGCCTGCGCCCAGGAAGCGGCTGAGCAGTGGGGTTTGCGCGGCGGCCCGGGCCAGCGCCGGGGAGGGCGCCACCTGCACACTCTGCTCTGGGTCGTCGCTCATGCTGCGGGCAGGGGTTGCACAGGGGGAGACTTGATGCCGGGGCCGGGAGATTGACTCCCCGAGCAGGCATCGGTGCCTGAGTGGCTGCTCACCGCAGGTTGAAGGTGGAACCCAGGAAGGAGGGCCTCAGCGAGTCCGCTGCCGTGGCCACAGTGTAGGGCGGCTGCGGCTGAGCTTCGTCCCAGTAGGGGTCTTTCTCGGCGGGGGGCAGATTCAGGTACATGTCATCCACGGCTAGCAGGGACACCTGGGCCAGCAGAAGGGGAGGCACAGGTCACAAAGACCTTCATCTCCACACCCAGGCCGAGTGCTGGCAGGGAGCGGTTCTCACACCGATAAGCCCCACTTCACCTGCAGGTTTCGGTCTATGAGCTGATTGGTCTCAAAGTCATCATCATCCTCACCAAAGGGGTTGATGATCTGTTCAGCCACCTGTAGAGTGCAGACAGAGCTTCACTGTCCCCAGTATTGCAGAGGACTTTGTGCCCACGCTTTTACAGAGCAGGCTGGCGTGACCCTCCTATGCCCACCTTGAGCCAGCCAGCATAGAAGAAGAACTGCAGCAGTGTCGTGAGAGGCACGTACATGTCCAGGTCTCCCAGGGCCAGCACTGGCTCCTGGCCTGGCTCCAGAGGCTCCTGAGGTTTGCCAGCCCCTGCCTCTGGCTCCACAAACTGGCGGCCCACCAAGGAGAGGGCAAAGAAAGAGTACACAGCTATAGTCACCACCTGGAGAAGGGAAAACCAGGCTCAGAGTACGGAGCAGTGGACCAAGAGAAATGCCATCTCTGCCTCTGAGGCCCTGGGAGGAGTCTGACAAGTAATTAAACATGTGACAGGGTGGCAGTGTGTGTGTGGGGTGTAGGGTCACCTGGGAAGGGTGGGAGGAGGCTTTAAGAATGAGCCCTCTGCTAGTCATGAGACTGAAGTGACACATGGTGAGGCCCATTTAATTCTCGGGACCTCATACACAGCACAGGACTTACAGTAGGCACTGGGAAGGGAGGGAGGAGGCAGTTACTTGGGTGTAGACGAGGGGGATGCTGATCCAGTCATAGTGGAACAGCATGCTGCACTTGGCACGGTACTTGTTCAGCTCCTGCAGAAACAGCAGAAAGAAGAGGTCAGCAGAGGTGTGCAGGGAGGGCTAGGAAGAGCACAGGGCGCCAGCACTGAGCAGGCTGGGGGCTCTGCTCCTCTGTCTTACCAGGCTGGGGCGACTATGATGGGGAGTGATTTAGCAAAGTTGCCGTAAGTACAGAGCCTAGAGCCAGAATGTCTGACTTGGGCTTTTCTACTTTATGCCTTAGTTTCCCCATCTGTGAAAAGGGGATCATAATAATTGTGTCTGTCTCTAGGGTTTCGAGGGCTAAATGAGTAACTACTGTACGTGCCTGTATGTTCATTGCACATAGGTGGCCCCACATAAGTGTTAGATTCCAAAACTATTCGTATGCAAAGCTAGAGGGCCAAGGGACCTGGTCCAAGGCTGACTCACTTCCAGAAGGAGACAGAGGGCGATGTCGTCGCGGATGCGTCCATCCTTGCGGGCCTGGGCAGCCAGGTTGGTGAACCAGACGCAGGGGACCCAGTACTTGTTAAAGTCGGATTTCAGGCTGTCGAACTTTTTCCTCTCTTCCTGGGACATGAAACCTGCGGGGGTGAAGTTGGTAGGGTGCAGACACATCCTCTGCCGCCAGGGGAAGCTGTGAGTCCACCACAGGGTTGCCCGTCCTTGCGTCCACAGCAGTCCCAGGATTTGCCGTGTGGGTCCCAGAGAGACTGGCTCTTCCGAAGACCCCCGCGCCCGCGCACCTGCGTCCACCACGTGCTCCACTGTGGGGAAGCGCTTGAGCACGCGGGTGCTCACCGAGCGCAGCACCAGCACCGATGCCAAGTTGGCGTAGCGGATGAGGGTGCGGCGCAGCAGGCGGCCGCGCTGGTCCACGCCGTGCACGCTGGCCGAGATGACGCACATCAACTGGTCTGGCAGCGGGATGCTTGTGTACTGGGACCACCAGCGGTTCACCACCAGAGTCACATAGAAACCTGGTAGGTCACCGTGGGAAGGGGTGGGAAGGGAGCACAGAGGGGCCGGGACTCAGAAGGCCCAGCACTTCCCTCCTCCCGCCAGCGAGCCCAGTTCAGTCCCTGAGCCAAGGAGTGGGGACCGGGACCGGGGGACACGGCCCACGTACCACATTGACCTCCAGCTGCCTGCCTCCAACACCATTCTGGGGCAGGCAAGGCCAGGAGGAAGGAAGAGCACCAACTTCCTGGGACGTGGGAGTGCAAGGCCAGGTAATGGTTAACTCAAGGTCTGGCTTCCTATGAGCATGCGGATGGGGCTGTCACCTCTCCGACTCCTCACCAGAGTGTGGTACTGAAGCCAGCAGGTGTCTTGGCCTTGCCAAGTGAGAGCCCACGAATGGTAGGCAGGGCCTAGGCCTGCGGAAGTCTTGGACCCAGTGCCCAGCTCCTGTACCTGTGCTGGTTGATTCTGGGCTGGGCTGCCTGGGCTGTGACCTCAACCCAAGATCCAGGAAGAACTAGAAGGGGCCTCACCCAGTACAAAGGACAAAGGGATGAGGTCCGCAGAGCGGTTGCAGTATTGGGCCACCTGAGCGTACACATGCCTCTGCTCCTGGGTCAGCAGCAGCCTGGGGAAAGGGCAGATGAAGGCCTGGCTTGCAGGGAGATGGACAGGGTAAGCCCTGCACCCCAGCCCTAGAACCTGCCTCACCGGTAGGTGATGCTGAGCAAGACGTAGAGGGCGACAAACAACAGAAACTCCTTGTACAGGAGCTTGTAGATACTTCCCCTCCACCGGAGCAGCAGGCCAGAGAAGCCTCCGAAGCGTGCCTCGGCCACTTTGAGAGTGTATGAAACGGTCATAGTGCTGAGGCCTGGGGTGGGAGGTCACAGAGGTGTCCCTCTCCTTAGCTTGCCTTCCCATCACTAAGCTTAGCTCCTAGGCAACCTCCCTTCACCTCTGGTCACACCCTCAGCCTTCCCAGTGTCAAGAGACAAGGGCCTGGGCAGGGGATTTAGCTCAGTGGTTTCCCTGCCTGCTGCACATGGGCAAGGACCCAAGTTCGATCCCCGGTACCAAAGAAAAGAAACAAGGGCCTAGGATGCCCCAAGGTCATCAGCTCCACCCCCTGCACAACTCCAGTACATAGATAAAGCCAAGATGGAGTCGGGCACAGCAGGACTGAGGTCTGGATGCTCATGCACAAGGCTTTCCCAAGCCCTTCCACCTGCAGGGCTGGGGAAACCAGATCCTGATCTGCCAAGGATAAGAGCCCCAACTCCATCCCAGTGCCAACACTTGTCCTTGGCTTTGCACTGGAAGCTGATTATCTGGTCTCCCAATGCCCAGGGCCTTGTCACCCCCACCCCTTGCCTGCCTACCTGCTCTGAGCAGCAGCCTGCACTGAGGAAGAGCTGGGCCCACCTGCACTCTCCAGACTTAAGTACCCGCCGAGTCCATAAAGTTGGCTGGACGGAGGCTGTCATTGATGGATGAGGCTGTCACCCAGCTTCCCCTGGTCCTGAGAACTGGGTGTGTCTCCCTACCCCTTCAGGGCTGGGCTGGCTTTTGAGTGGCAAAACTGCCATCCATGCTGACCCCACAGCTCGTGCAGGCGACGCCATGTCCTTCGAACCAGGATGATGGATGGCCATCCTGTGCTCCAGGTGAGAAGCATGCAAGATAAAGTGTCACTGTAGTACCAGCTGCTGGTCACAGCCTGAAGGCACAGGCACTGTGCCAGGGCGCTGCCACTTCATTTTTTTTTCCTTTCTTTTTTAATTTCTTTTCCTAGTACCAGGGATTCAACTCAGGACCTTACGCTTGTGAGGTGGGCACAGTGGCACTGAGCTAAATCCCCGGCTGCCATGTCATCCTTGCACAGAATCCTCACTACATGTGGGCGTAATCATGGCTGCCGCAAAAATCAGGCTCCAGAAGGTAAGTGATTTGGTCACCGTCACACAGCTAGGACATGTTGGAGGCAGGAGCCAAAGCTGGTGGACTTCAAGTGCTAGAAGTAGCCTAAATGGCCAGGCTCTTCCCCACCCCACACTCCAGGGCTGACAAGGCCACAGATCTGGGAACTTAGGCCCACAGTGTGGAAAGCCCTGGGTCCAAAATCTTGACTCCTGGGGGTACTCTGGGTCTTGAGTCGCTTCTTTCATTTTACAGTCTCCTTCCTTCCTCCCTATCTGTAGAACTGGAGATTGAAACACAGCTAAGCTACATCCCTAACCCTTATTTAAAGTTTATTTAGAGACAGGGCCCTGCTAAATTGCCCAGGCCAGCCTCAAACTTTCTCAATCCTCCTGCCTCGGCCTCCCAAGTAGCTGTGGGCCACCACACCCAACTCTCATCATCCATTTCTTCATCTGTCCAAACTAAAAAATAATACCTATGACACTGATCAAATTAGAAATAGAACTTTATCTGTTTTTCTTTTTTTTGGTTTTTTGAGACAAGGTCTTGCTATGTAGCCCAGGCTGGCCTCTAAACCTCAGCAACCCTCCCACCTCAGTCTCCCAAGAGCTGGGATTACAGGTGAGTGCTGCTTTGCCTGGTGCCCTAGCTCATTTTTTGTTTATTTGTTTGGTGTTTTTTTTTTTTTTTTGGTACCTGGGATCAAACTCATGTCCTTACGCTTGCCCAGCAGGGGGTGAAACCACTGAGTTAAATCCTTGGCAATTGTATTTTTTGTTTGTTTATTTGTTTGTTTTGGGTACCAAGGATCAAACTCAGGTCCTTGAACTTTCAAGGCAGGCACCACCGGAACCACTGAGCTAAATCCCTGGCCCCTGGCTCTTTGTTTTTTGAGGCAGGGTCTCCCTTTATCGTTCAAGCTGGCCCTGAACTCACTACATAGCCCACACTCGACTTTGTACTTTTTTTTTTGCTAGCTCATTTTTAATTGTTCCTTCAAAATTCAGCTCAGGAGCTGGTCCTGATGGTGCACACCTGTAATCCCAGCACTGAGGAGGCTGAAGCAGGAGGATTGCTGTGAGTCCTAGGCCAGCCGGAACTACATAGTGAGACCTTGTCTCAAAAAAAAAAAAAATCCACTTCAGGGCTGCTTTATTCTCTGATGCCAGTGCTGCCTATACCTCACTAAGCTCTGGTCCACAGAGAATGGTGTAAGGAGGTCTCTGTACCATGGCTTATTCAAGGCAGGCTGCCTGCAGATCTACTGGTGCAAAGCCCCAGGAAGCAACTGGATACAAAAGCCTCTCCTAAAAAAGGCCTGTGCTGGGGTGGGGTTGAAGAAACCTCAGCATTGCAGGCCTGATACTGAGTGTGCCATGAGACTACACATAATTGGAAGTCCACTGAACATAGCTATAGATACAGGTGCAGAGATTTTTGTATTAGTATATGTTTGTGACACACAGAGAATACATCCATCATGGGGAGTTGGTACATGTACAAATTGCATTTTAGTCCTCTTTTACTTTCCTTTCCCCTCTCCTTCTTTCCCTAGATCCCCTTCCCATCTGTATAAAGTCTACCTCCCTGTTTCCTATCCTCTGTCTTTTATTTTGCTCTTTAAATTATCTATGCTTATTTATATGTGAGAAACCATGTGATATTTAACCTTCTGTTATTTACTTTGCTTAGCATTATGGTGTCACGGTGCATCCTTTTTCCTATAAACGACTCAAATTTATCTTTATTTGTGGCTATTACTCCACTGTGTATAAATACCACATTTTCTTGCCAGGGATTTAGCTCAGTGGTTTTGCTGCCTGCTGCGCAAGCGCAACAACCCGAGTTCGATCCCTCGGTACCAAACAAACCAACAAACAAAAAAATAAATAAAATAAAATAAAATACCACATTTTCTTTATCCATGTACCTGTTGGTGGACACATACACTGCTTCCAAGATTTAGCTGTTGTGAGTTGTGCTGCTAAAAACATGGATATGATGTCTTTAACTTTTGGGGGAAGATATCCCAGGAGAGGGATAGCTGGGTTGAATGGAATTTCTAGTTTTAGTTTCTTGAAGAATGTCCACAGTGATTTCCATAGTGGTTTCACCAGTGTACATTCCCACCAGCATTGTAGCACGATCCCTTTTCCTCCATAACCTTGCCTGATTTGTTGTTTTTGAGTTCATGATGATGGATGATGGCCATTCTTTCTAGAGTAGATGGAATGTCAGTGGTTTTTTTTGGGGGGGGGGTACCGGGGATCAAACTCAGGTCCTTGCACTTGCGAGGCAGGCAGCGGCACCACTGAGCTAAATCCCTGGCCCTCAATGTTGTTTTGATTTGCATTTCTCTAATGGCCAAAGATGCTGAACTTTTTTTCATGTATTTATTGGCCATTTGCATTTCTTCTGTGAAGTATATATTCATTTTAATTGGCTGGTTTTGATTGGGTGATTTATCTGGAGGGATCTAATTTTTTGAGTTCCTTTTTTTTTTGTACTGGCGATCCAACTTAGGACCTTGCAGTTGTGAGGCAGGCGGGGGTACCGCTGAGCTAAATCCCTGACCCTAAATTCTTTATAAATTCTAGATATTAGTTCTCTGTCCAAGGAATAACTGGCAAAAAAATATCCTATTGTGTAGATTGTCTTCACTCTGTTGGTTGTTTCCACTGAACTTGTTTTTATTTTTGTTTTTTGAGATGGGTCTCATTATGTAGTCCAGGCTGGTCTTGAACTCACTGCAATCCTCTTACCTTGACCTCCTGAGTACTGGGATTACAGGAGTGCACCACCACACCCAGCTCCACTGAATTTCTGATTCCCATACTCCCCATCTAGCCTCTGGTATGAGAAATTGCCCAGGACTTCAAAACAGATCTGTCCTGCTATTGGTGCTTCGCAGGAGGCAAGTGAGGCCTTTATAGTTGGCTCTTTTGAAGACATTAGCCCCTGTGCTCTCTGTGCCAAATGTGTGGCGGGGTGTGGTGGCACATGCCTATAATCCAGCACTCAGGAAGCTGAAGCAGGAGGATCACTGCGAGTTCTTATTGTATTTTATTGTTTGTTCCTTTTTTTCTTTTCTTTTCTTTTCTTTTTTTTTTGGTACCAGGGATTGAATTTGGGACCTTGCACTTTTGAGGCAGGCAGCAGAACCACTGAGCTAACTCCCCGGCCCTTATTGTTTGCCTATGAGACAGGGTCTCGGTATGTAGTTGAGGCTGGCCTTAAACTCACTTGAACCTGCAGCAGTCCTCCTGCCTCAGCCTCTCAAGTACTGGCGTTACAGGCATGCACCACCACACCTGGCAAAAATTCTTATATTTATTTATTTTCAGTACTGGGAATCAAACTCAGGACCTTGCACTTGTGAGGTGGGCATGGTGCCACTGTTCCCAGCTGTTTATTTTTTATCACCAGGAGTTCAAGGCCAACCTGGGCTACCTAGTGAGACTTTGTCTCAGGAAAAAAAAAAAAAGAAAACAAAGACAAAAAATGCATCCACTATGATGGAAAATATTTCATTTTCAAAAATAAATAAATAATGCTGGGGATGTAGCTCAGTGGTAGAGACCCTGCTGTCACAGGTCCCTGGGTTCAGTCCCCAGTTCACATGCACACCCAGCACCCAGTGTGTAGGGGAGAGGATGGGGCAAGGAGATGATGGGGGAAGCGATCAAAGTATGTTATGCATGAATCCGACAAAATGAAACCTTGTTTGTATAAGCAATCCACTAATAAAGACATAAAAGAAAAATTTGTTTTTCCTGTTCTCCCTGTTATCAGTAGTTCTGAACTTTGGATATTTTTTCCATGGGGTCAAAAGTACCTAAGTGTATGATTGCAAATGAAAAAATAGAGGACAAATCAGATATTGGCAATTTTTCCATTTTCATTTGCTTGTGGAAAAAAAAATTTTTTTTTAAATAGGATCTCACTGTGTCGCCCAGGCTGGCCTGGAACTCAAAGTCCTCCTGCCTCAGGGAGCCTCTCCCCCTCAGTGCTAGGATTAGAAGAGTATGCCACCACTTCCCCATCCTTTTTTATTTCAAGACAGGGTCTCAAAATGCCTTTGAACCTTGAAATTTGGCTCCTCCTGCCTCAGCCTCCCAAGTAGCTGAGATCTCAGGTATGTTCACTGCCACTGCCTGGCTGGGTTTTCTCTCTTGCAGTAGTGACTCACACTGGTCCATGTCTTCTGACAGACACACTTATCCTGCAGCCCCAGGGACACCCAAGCACGAGACTGAGTCTAAGTCACCTCAGTAAACCTCAGGAAGACCTGAAAGCTAGCAAGCACCCTTTCTTTTTCCCCTTCCTCTCCCTTACTCCCACTTTCTCTCCCTTCCTTCGTTCCCTCTCTAGTTTAACAGGAAAGACATCAGGTTTCACCACTACTGCCCTCCCCTGGTTCTTTTTTATTTTATTTTATTTTATTTTATTTTATTTTATTTTATTTGGTACCAGGGATCGCACTCGGGACCTTGTGCTTGTGAGGCAGGCACCCGAACCACTGAGCTAAATCCCTGGCCCCCTCCCCTGGTTCTTTTGAGAGGTGTCTGTGACACAAGGTGGGAAACCTGCTCAGGGCCTGACTGGAGTTAAGACCTCCTTCATTCCCAGGTGAGAAGTCACCAGGAATGAAGAACAGGACTGTGTGTCTGTGAAAGAGCCAGGACCTGCTGGGTGCAGTGCCACACACTTGTATTCCCAGCACTAAGGGATGCTGAGGCAGGAGGATGGAAAGCTCAAGCCTAGTCTGGGCAGCTTAGCAAGACCTTGTCTCAAAATGAAAAATAAAAAGGGCTGGAGAGGGCTGGGGATTTAGCTCAGTGGCTTCACTGCCTGCTGCGCAAGTGCAAGGACCCAAGTTTGATCACCAGTACCAAAAAAAAAAAAAACCCAAAAAGCAAAAAGGGCTGGAGAAGTAGCTCAATGTGAAGCGGGCAGGAGGGGGGAAAGACCCAGGGCGTCAAGGATGTAGCTCAGTAGTGCAGTGCCTGCCTGGCAAGCTTGAGGCCCTGATTTCCGTTATGGGTACCAAAAAAAAAAAAGACTCAGTACCTGAGTTGAAGAAGGTGAGATATCAGCTCCAGGGCCTCAGCCATCTTGGCAGTGAAGCCCTTTCCCAAGCTTCCTGTGGCTATAGGCTTGTGCCACCACCCGTGGTTTGTGTTTATCTTTGAGGACAGAATGCTTGTAGGCCAGAGGTTCCTCTTCAGGTCAGCTAGCTGAAACTGGATAGATCCAAGATCCAAGACAGCCAGTACCTTTGCAATAATCTCATCTGCATGCTAAATGACACGCCCAGGGCCATGACAGTTGACATTTGCCTTGATGATGACTAGAAAGAACCAGAAAAGGAGCAAAAAGGCCTACTTGTAATCCCAGAACTTTTGAGAGGGCTGAGGCAGGAGGATTAAAACTGTGACCCCAGGGCCAGGGATTTAGTTGTGCCTGCTGCACAAGCGCAAGGACCGGAGTTGGATCCCCAGTACCAAAAAAAACACACCAAAAAACAAAACTATGAGCCCAGCCTGGGCAATTTAGTGAGCCTGGGCAACTTGTCTCAAAATAAAAAATAAAAGGAGTGGGTATAGTGGTACACGTCTGTTGGGCCGGGGATTTAGCTCAGTGGTTCCGCTGCCTGCCTTGAAAGCTCAAGGTCCCGAGTTCAATCCCCAGTACCAAAAAAGAAAAAAAATAGAGATCAGTGGTACACGCCTATAATCCTAGTACTCAGGGGGCCGAGGCAAAAGGATTGCTGTGAGTCCAAGCCCAGCCTGGAGTATACAGAGACCCTGTCTCAAAAAAAGTAAAGAAAAACAAAACAGAAAGGGCTAGAAATGTAGCTCAGTGTGAAGCTCCTGGGTTCAATTCCTAGTACTGGAAAAAAGTATATGGCAACAGTTGGAGTGCCAGCCCTGGTCTCCTGAACAGCTCTTCCCAAGGCAGCCAAGCTGGGGTTATTGTGACCCTGCACCCCAGCTGCCTTCCATTGCCCTCACATTTCTGCCTGTCACTCCAGCTTCTCGACTGTGAGTTTCCCACAGAATCAGTACAAAGGTGCACAGCCTGAAGCCTCTGCCTGGGCAGGGGCAGCCCCAACCCACCCTGCCTCTCCCTCCTGAATCACCTTATCTCCTTTCCCACTGTTTTATGGTCCCAGAGAGGGAACCAGGCAGCCTGTAAATCACCCGCCCCACCCCACCCCACCCCACCCCACCCCACCTATCCTCCTCCTGCATCTCTCCCTCTCCCTCTCTATCTCTCCTATTGGTTCTGCCCACTAGCTCTGTCCTCAGTGGCTTGGAACCTGCTCACCAAGGTCTCCAAGCTTTGTGACCTTGGCAAGTCGCTTCAAGTTTGTGCTTAATTTCCCCATGTGGAAAGGGAGATAATATCTATCTCATGAAGTTGCTGTGAATATCAAATGAGTTAATTGTATAAAGTGCTCAGAATAACCCAGTGTACTACAGCTATCTCCCCACCCCCCTTTTTGCGACAGTATCTTGCTATGTGGCCCAGGCTAGTCTTGAACTCCTGGACTCAAGTGATCCCACCTCAGCCTGACAGCAGCATGTGGAGGGGGAGCTGGAGGTCAGCAAGGTGCTGGGCAGTAATCTCACAAGAGAGACTGCCCCAGACCAGGTGTGAGGAAGATGAGCCAAGGGCGTTCATATCAGAGATGTCTGGGGATAAACTTGGTAGAGGTTAGGCATAAGTAAATATGTGCTGACTTTCCCGGTTGCTTTTTATCTAAAGCAGGCTCTTGGCCTACCCTTGTTTACTTCCTTCACATTACTTTTGGCAGCCTGCAATTACTTTGTTTTATATATTTGTCTGTTTCCATAAAGCAGAATCAAGTAAATTAACTTGAGTGCTGTGACCTTGATCATTGGGGTTTTTTTCTGGGGGGAGGGTTTGAGACAGGATCTCACTATGTAGCCCAGGCTAGCCTTGAACTCACAGCAATCCTCCTGCTTTAGCCTCCCAAGTGCTGGGATTACAGGCATGCACCACCACACCTAGTTACCTTGATCAGTCTTATTCCAGACAATGCCTTGCACTCGGCAGGTAATCTCAAGAAATCTGTGAGGTCTTGGTGGCTGGCACTGAGCAGGGGTCTCAGGTTCCAAGTGGCCCTAAGACTAATTGCCCAAAAGCCCATTCTTAGCATTTGAGAATACCCAGTTCCTAATTTTCACTTTCTGGCTGCTGATCGAGGGCAGCGGGTATTTTCAGAAGGGAATGGGGGACCTCAAGGAGCCTGAGATCTGAGATCTGCCCCTCATCAGTGTAGGAGTGAGCGACAGGTGTGGGGGCCGTATGCTGGTAATCCCAGCACTAGGGAGGCTGATGCAGGTTCAAGTGAACTGCAAGTTCCAGAACAGCGAGACCCTGCACTACACAGCAAGACCTTATCTGAGGGAAAAAAAAAATGTAGAAGTGGGTAGAGAAAAATGTGGCCTGCAACATAAGAACCTTGAATACAAGGCTGTTTGACTTCAAAACCCAGGATGGCAGTCCCCCGACCAAGCAATCCAGACTCCGGAGTGTTGCTCCTCAGTCCCTGCAGGGGACAGCACTGGGTTGAGCCTGAGGGCTCGGGCCGGGGCGCGGGACGCGCCCACTCCAGGCGGGAACGCAGATCCATCTGCTTGCTGAGGAGACGCCCCTAGGTGCCTGACCCTCCCACTCCGATTTCAGCGTATGCCCCGAAGACTGGAGAATGAAAGGATCCCGGTTAGCACGACACGCAGTCACAAGGGCGGAGAAGGTAGAGAACGGAGATCGCTTGGCTTCCCCGGCTAGGTTGCACCTACGTGATGACTAGTACTATGGTGGTGCCTTTAAAACGCGAGCAGGAGGCGGGGCCTCAGAGTGCGTCAGGTCGGAGGAGGTGCTTCTGGGTGACGTCAGGGCCTCCAAGGGGCGTTGCTTCGCTCTGACTCGTCTCCAGGGAGGGGGCGGTGCTCTCGGTGAGGAGACGCGGCTAGGGGGAGGCGTTCATTGATAAAAACGCCGGGCTCCCTCGGGCTCCAGCGCAGCGTAGCAAAACCAGGCAGCGCCACGCGCGGCCAGGGCCGGGCGGAACCAAGGAGCCGCCGGGCCAGCGCTGCGACGCGCCGCCTGCATGGAGCCCGCTGCGGGCTTCCTGTCTCCGCGTGCCTTCCCGCGTGCGGCCGTCCCGCCTGCGCCCCCGGCTGGCCCCGGGCCGCCTCCGAGTGCCCTGCCCAGACCTGAGGTGGAGACGCTGGCTGGACCACCGGCGCGAAATCCCGGGCGCCTCATCACTGACCCGCTCAGCGGTCGCACCTACTTCAAAGGCCGCTTGTTGGGCAAGGTGGGCCGGGCTGTCTGGGTGGGGAGCGGCGCTAGCCGGGTGGAGGGACTCCCGCCGGGCCGGGCGGGGACCTCCATGGAGCGCCTGGCCTGATGCCCCTGCTCCTAGGGAGGGTTTGCCCGCTGCTACGAGGCTACTGACACCGAGACTGGCAGCGCCTACGCGGTCAAAGTCATCCCGCAGAGCCGCGTCTCCAAGCCGCATCAACGCGAGAAGGTGGGTTCAGGCACCAAGGACGAGGGATGGGGTGGGGACAGTGCCGTGGGAACCCTGGAATGATGACGACCTTGCGCTCCCATTGCAGATCCTCAACGAGATTGAGCTGCACCGAGACCTACAGCATCGCCATATCGTTCGTTTTTCACACCACTTTGAGGATGCTGACAACATATACATTTTCCTGGAGCTCTGCAGCCGAAAGGTGAGGGATGAATTCCAGCGGGCAAGGGGGTAGGAGGAGAAGGCGGGTCTTAAAATCCAAAGCTTTTGGGCCAGGGATTTAGCTCAGTGGTTCTGCCGCCTTCCTCGAAAGCGCGAGGTCCCAAGTTCGATCCCTGGCACCAAAAAAAAAAGATTATCAAGATCCAAAGCTTTGAAGGGGGACTCAGGGAGGGTTAGCAGGGGCTGAGGCAGTGGCTCTCCACAGTCCCTGGCCCACATCTGGAAGGCCCGGCATACTCTGTTGGAACCAGAGGTTCGTTACTACCTGCGGCAGATCCTTTCTGGCCTCAAGTACTTGCACCAGCGGGGCATCTTGCACCGGGACCTTAAGCTGGGTGAGACTCCTGGGTCAGCGGGGTGGGGCTAGGAGGTGGAGGAAGGAAGGAGTCTGACACACCTCTGTCTCTGTCCAGGAAATTTTTTCATCACCGAGAACATGGAACTGAAGGTGGGGGATTTTGGGCTCGCAGCTCGGTTAGAGCCCCTGGAGCAGAGGAAGAAGTGAGTGTTTGAGGGAAGAGGTCATGCACGATCTGTGTGTGACACAGATGGTGTGTGTGGCAGATGGTGTGTGTGGGAAGAAGCAAGGTGACCTCCTGATGTGCATGTGATAAATAAGGAAGGGGTGATGGGCTGTTTGTGTACGTGTGGAGGTGGCAGTCTGAACTGCTGGGATTGGTGGAGAGGGTGAAGGTCGTGTTGAATGTGTGACACAGCTGGGGGAGGTAACCCTGAGTCCCTGAGACACGTAGGGGAGTAGGGATTCTTGGAGGTGTATGACTGACCCTGTGTGAGGAAGGCAGGGGACAGGTGTGTAGGAAAGGGAGGATGTGACACCCTGTGTGTGTGTAAAAGACCCTACTGTGGCCACTGTGGTTGGGTGTGTATGACACAGATAGGCACGTGTGGCAGATTAGTGTTTGGGGGGATGTGACAGCTGGTGTTGGTGTGTTTATGGCAGACCATGGGAGGTGACAGCCTCATGGGTGTGTGACAGACGGGAGTGGGGGAAGGGACCAGCCATGGACCCTCTGTGACCCTGGAGGAGGGGCTGGGTTGGGGGTCAAGGCCTCCCCCACTCCTGCAGAGCAGCTGAGCAGCTGTGCCAGGAGGGTGGGCGGGGACTCAGCTCTCATCCTCAGCATCCATTGTCCCAGGACAAGCAGGAGCTCTCTGCCCTTTGGTGACAGGCAGCTGCTTTGTCTAGAGTCACAGTGGGGGCAGGAATAGGGAGGGCTGCTGGGCTGAGTCTGAGCCCTCCCCTCTGCTTCTACCCTCTTTAGGACCATCTGTGGCACCCCCAACTATGTGGCTCCAGAAGTGCTGCTGAGACAGGGCCATGGCCCCGAGGCAGATGTGTGGTCACTGGGCTGTGTCATGTGAGTGCCAGGTTCAGTGGCAGACAGGTTGTGGCTGCATGGATGGGGCATTCCTACCACTTTACTACTGACTCCTGTGTCCCTGGCCCACAGGTACACTCTGCTCTGTGGGAGCCCCCCCTTTGAGACAGCAGACCTGAAGGAAACCTACCGCTGCATCAAGCAGGTCCATTACACGCTGCCTGCCAGCCTCTCACTGCCAGCCCGGCAGCTCCTGGCTGCCATCCTCCGAGCCTTGCCCCGAGACCGCCCCTCTATTGACCAGATCCTGCGCCATGACTTCTTTGCTAAGGTCTGTGGCTCTCAGACACCTGGCTTCCATTTGTATATTCCCAGGGGATTAAATGGGGCAAGTGACAGGACCCCTGGGGCCTTTTCTCTATTGACATGGCTCCCCTCCCAGGGCTACACCCCGGACCGGCTCCCTGTCAGCAGCTGTGTGACAGTCCCCGACCTGACACCCCCTAATCCAGCAAGGAGTCTGTTTGCCAAAGTTACTAAGAGCCTTTTTGGCAGGAAGAAGAAGAGTGAGTGGGGTGTCAGTGGGTTGAGGGTACAGAGTGGTAGAGCTGCTTGTCACATTCATCTTGGGGATGTGAGAGTGTGGGTGCCTGTGAGCCCCTGGGGAGAAAATGTGTCATCCAGGCACTTGAGAAGTCCTATCTCAGTGTCATCCTCCTGGGAAACAGGGCTGGGAGGACACTGAGGTCTGCATTCGTCCTCCCCCAGATAAGAACCATCCTGAGGAGAAGGAGGAGGTGTCCTGCTTGGTGAATGGGCTCATGCGCACATCCCTTGGCCATCAGGACACCAGGCCGGAGGTGAGATGCTCACGTGGCACTCTCCCCTGACTCATTGCCACCCCAGCAGCTGAGGGAAGCTGGGGATAAAAGGCTGATGAAGCATCCAGCCCCGTGGTGGCCTAATTGGCGGTGTCTCATTAGCCAGCTGGGGCTGACCTGGGGTGCCCTGGGAACCAGGGCAAGGCCGGGCCATGAACTTCCAAGGATTTGGATTCTGAGGCCTCTCTCTTTTCCTACCTATCCCTCCAGGTACCAGCAGCTTCTGGTCCAACCCCTGTGAGCCTGGTAGAGACAGCAGCTGAAGATAGCTCACCCCGTGGGACGCTGGCGAGCAGTGGAGATGGTAAGGAGCCAGGGAGGATGAAAGGTGCTAGAGGTTGCTGGTCCAGGGACCAGAGGGAGGGAATCTGTTGGCACAGGGATGTGGGCTCTGTCCAGGAGGGCTAATGGCTAAATCTGAGGGCCCTGTTCCCTTCAGGTTTTGAAGAAGGCCTGACTGTGGCCACAGTGGTAGAGTCAGCCCTCTGTGCTCTGAGAAACTGTGTGGCCTTCATGCCCCCAGGTAAGGCTTATGTCTAGTACACATGAATGGGGTGGGGCAGGCAGGAGCAGATCCTCACTCCCTCCTCTCGTGACAGCGGAACAGAACCCTGCCCCACTGGCACAGCCAGAGCCTCTGGTGTGGGTCAGCAAATGGGTTGACTACTCTAACAAATTTGGCTTCGGGTATCAACTGTCCAGCCGCCGCGTAGCCGTGCTCTTCAATGATGGCACACACATGGCCTTGTCAGCCAACAGAAAGTAAGTACTGTGTGGCATCCCTTGTATCCAGGCTATCGTACCTAGCAGGGCTGAACCTGGTGTATATTTTGGGGCTTAGGGACCTGGGGTTTCTTGGGGTGGGGCATTGGTAGAGGGCTCCCTTTCACCTCTGCCTCCCCCTTTCCAGGACGGTGCACTACAACCCCACCAGCACAAAACACTTCTCCTTCTCCGTGGGTGCTGTGCCCCGGGCTCTGCAGCCTCAGCTGGGCATCCTGCGGTATTTTGTCTCTTACATGGAGCAGCACCTCATGAAGGTGTGTAGGCTAGGGTGTGGCATGTTGAGGACTAACATGTGCTGGTCCCTCTGATTCCTTTGGTGGTGGGTGTGGGTGTGGGGGAGTGAAAAGGTAGAGTTTGAGGGCTGGGAATTTAGCTCAGTGGTTTCACCACTTGCTGTGCAAGCGCAAGGACCTGAGTTTGATCCCCGGTACCAAAAAAAAAAAAAATAAAGATAGAGTTTGAACCTGTAAGGAAGGAAGACATCTACAGGAAAGGCCTGCCTCAGACCAGGAAGTAGCCTGCCCTGCCTCTGTGTCCAGGGTGGAGATCTGCCCAGTGTAGAAGAAGTAGAGGTGCCTGTCCCACCTTTGCTGCTGCAGTGGGTCAAGACCGATCAGGCACTGCTGATGATGTTCAGTGATGGCACTGTCCAGGTGAGAGTGAATTCTAGAGTTGGGGGGAAGGTCTGGGAGGCCAAGACTGTTGGGAAGGAAATTGTCTGGGGCCTAGGCCCTGGTCACTATCACCTTCTTGTCCATAGGTGAACTTCTATGAGGACCACACCAAGCTGATCCTCAGTGGCTGGGAGCCCCTCCTTGTGACTTTTGTGGCCCGAAATCGCAGTGCTTGTACTTACCTCGCTTCCCATCTCCGGCAGCTGGGCTGCTCCCCAGACCTGCGACAGCGACTCCGCTATGCTCTGCGCCTGCTCCGGGACCGAAGTCCAGCCTAGGCCCCACCCTATAGTGTGGCTGTATCCCGAGCCCTGAGGCCTGTGCCTATTAAGGTTCTACTCCTTGCCTTTGTGGCCCTCCCTTTCCTTTTGGTGCCTCACTGGGGGGCTCTGGGCTGAATCCCCCAGGGAATCAGGGACCAGCTTTACTAGAGTTGGGGTTGGCCTATCCTTGCTGTTTCTTACCCCCTCTCCGAGATAAGCCTGAGCCTTAGTCCCCAGCTAGGGGGCATTATTTATGGACCACTTTTATTTATCGACAGACATTTATTTATTGGGATGTGAGCCCCAGGGGGGATCTCCTGGAATAATAAATCATTTTGCAGAATTTGGAGGCCTTCTTATTCGCAATAGAGCCCGTGGACAGTGGCCACAGCAAAGAGGGAGGCATTGGTGAAGGATGCGGAGGCCAATCCATCCCGTGCCTCATCCCAGAGCGCACGGCTGACCACAAGCACATCTTGGCCAGCTCGTGGCCCCAGCACCACGCTGCACACGAGCTTGTAGCGAGGCAGGTTGAACTCACGCAGGCGCATGCGCATCTGCTCGCACAGCTCTTGGGTCAGCCTCCCTGCCTCCGGGCCCGAGTAGCATGCGTTGTGCAGCCCTGCATCCAAGGCTGCCTCCAGGGCCCGCTGGGCCCGCATAGCCTCCCAGCGCTCCCCAGGTGCAGGCTCTATTCTGTAGGAGGGCGCCACCCGACGGGCTGGTGCCAGGGGCAACCCTGAGAAACTGACCCTTGAGACTAGAGGGGACACTGGTCCCAGGGATGGCCTCCGACCTCCAGGCCCAGAGCCTGGCCCAGCCAGCGAGTTGCGTCTTGAGAAGGAAGCAGGGAGGCCCAGGATGGATCCACGGCGGGAGGCTGGGCCTAGGCCTGCGCCTGTGGGTCGGGCCTCATGGATGCTGGGCAGGCGGCTTCCAGGCTGCACTAGTGGTAGTTTGTTCCCTGGATCTTTGGTCGACTCCTCCTCCTGACGTCCAGGGGCCAGAACCCTGCCAGCCATGGACCTGCGGACTGGAAAACCCACTCAGGATGGCATTCAATGGCCATCTTTCCATACCACCAATCCTGTCAAGGGGTTTTACATCCCTCCTCCCTTTTTTCTGTTACTAAAATCCAGCATTTTTACATTGAGCTACTGTCCAAGTCCTTTTTATTTTGAGACAGAATCTTGCTGTGTAGCTCTGACTGGCCTCAAGCTCACCATCCTCCTGCCTCAGCCTCCTGAGTGCTGAGATTACAGGCTATCACTATACATTTTTTCTCTCTCTCTCCCTCTCTCCCTCTCTCTCTCTTTTTTTCTTTTTCTTTTGAAGGCATCTCACTCTTGCCCAAGCTTCTTTAGGTTCCTGGGCTCCAGTGGTCCTCCTGCCTCAGCCTCCCAAACAGCTGGGACCATAGGGACTAGGGACTACAGGCATGTCCCACCCCACACCTCTATCCCTTATCCCCATCCTAGTGATTGTGAGCCTTTTAGAGCTTTCAATGATAACAAACAGCCCGCTGCAGCACCCATGCCCTAGGTTCACCACCCCTGCCCTATCCCTCCTGACCTGTTTTTGGAATAAGTGGATCAGTTTGTCTGGGGCTGCCTGGTTTCCTAGGTGCTTAGAGGGTTAAAGACTGTTAGGGACAAGCTGGGGAGGGATGCTAGTGTCTGATCCTGAGCTCTACTTGCTCTTGGGCACCATGGAGTTGGCTAAGTGAGCTCTAAATATCCTTTGATACTCTTCCTTTTTCTCCTTTCTGCCTGACTTAACCAGCAAAGGAGAGATGAAGCTGGCTTCTGGCTCACCCTGGACAGTAGAAGTGGAGCCTCCAACCCTTAACCAGGGGGAGCAGATTAACCCAACTTCACTCCCATAGATCCCTCCAGCCCTGGGATCGTCAAATCCAGTCAGCCACCTCTATCTGCTCTAGGCAGGACGCAAAAGATCCCCACAGCAGGCTGAGGCTGGGGACAGGGTACCCACGAAGCCTCTGACTCCACCTTCCACCTCCTACAGAATCACTTCTGGGATCACCCGCTTCTCACCCCTCCGCTCCCGAAACTCCCTCAGGCATCTGAGTCACCTGCAGCCTTTGGCCTCCAAGCACTCTTCACTCCACAGCTGTCTCTTGGCTGGCCAAGTTGGTGGGGTGGGAGGGGAAAGGCAGTGTTGTGCAGTTGCCATGGGCTGCAGGGCAAGCACTCCTCCCTCCCAGGGTCTCTTGCTCCAGTCTGCCTTTGGCGTAACCTGGGAGTGTTACTGTGAGCAACTGCAGAGAGGGGGGCAGCGCCTGAGTGATTAGGAAGAGGTGGTTTACAGGGGTGAGAAGCGCGGGGCCATACGCTCTCCATAGGCCCAGGAGCCCTGGTCAGAAAGGCATTCCATCCAGGGCTCTTGGTGAAATGGCTGGATGACTGGCCGTTTGTGAGCAAGTCACAGGGGCCTGTGCTATGAGGAAACCTTGAGGAGGCGGGGGGGGGGGGGGGGGGGGGGGGGGGAGGAGGTGGCTGCTCAGGAATCCAGGATCTGGGCTCACAGGAAGGAGCACGTCATGGCTCTATCGTCTCCTCATCAGCTTCAACAAGGACAATCATTTCCGCTTCAGGCACAGAGTGAGGGTGGGGCTTGGATGACTTCCTCAGTTCAGGGCTATGTGTGGGGGAGGGGAGGCCAGTGGCTCAGCTGGGAGGACCAGGCCTGATACAGCCATGACCCAGTGGCAAACCCAAGTCCAGTCTCCTGACCCTTGCTAACCCAAGTGCCTGGGGCTTGTCCCCAGCTGGCCACACCTCTTGTGTGCCTCAGAGCCTAGGTTACCCCTTCCCCACAAGCAGTTGCATCTCAGGGATGCCACAGGCTTTGAGCTTCTGTCAGAGCTGACACCTCACTGGACCGCTGACTCTTAAGCTAAGTACAGGCCCTGAAAACCATCTATGGGGGTGAGGCTTTTCCCAGTTGATGGGGGGTTCCCCATCCTAGTTAACTTGATTCTAACTTATGAGCCTGTGGGGGAAGAAGTAGAAAGGCAGGGGAATTGAACTCAACCTGGCGCAGGCAAGAGCCAGTGCTAAGACCTTCAGACTCTGCTTAGGGCCCCTCTGCAGGCTGAAAATTTCCCCTGGGCCTGTGGGGAGGTAGGCGGAGCCTCCTCAGGCCCAGCTCCAGTTTCCATGGAAACCCAAGGCTTCCCACCCCCTGGCTGCTCGAGCAGGCTCTGAGCCTGGGCCTCCTTCTTCACTGCGTCGGCTCCAGCCTCTGGCTCTCTTAGGTCCCCTTCTGTTTGTCCCCGTTCCTGAGGCTGTGGCCTCCTCAGCAGGCTTCTGATGTCTTTTAAAGGAACCTGGGCCTCTTCTTCCTTAAAGAAGAAGAGCTTCTCAGCCAACAGGTCTCCTGGGCTCCTGCCCCTCCCTCTCAGGCCTCTCTAGTCTCCTCACCACCTCAGGGCCTGACTGGGGCCCCCCTGAGACAAACAGCAGCAGGTCTCCTGGGCCACTCTACTCATCCCCTTTCCCACCCATGGAGACCCCAGGACTGGTCGTGCATGGACAGGCTGCGCCCTTTTCCACAGCACTCCGAAGCCTTGTCAACAACCCCCAATACAGGTGAGGGAATGGGCCCTGTGGGCAAGCTCGGATTTTCCCTCTGAGGAGGCCTGGGTGAAGGGGTGGGGAATGAGACTTGGCCCTCGTCCCTGGTGAACTCGTCTGTGGGAAAGTAGAAGGTGGTTACTGTACTTTCTGGTGTGTCCATGACATCTTGAGAGTCAGAGGTGGTGGGTGGTGGGGACTGGAGCCTGCCACTGGTGTGTGAGCTCAGGCAAGGAAGGCCCTTTCTTCTCTGGGTCACTGGCTGGGTCCTCTTCACAGAGAGCAAAAGAGCCCTCCATCCCTAGATCCTGGGAGATGGGACCCTTTCATAGTGCATGCCGCTAGGTGTTGGGGCTCCCTCCTTGAAGGGGCAGAGAAGCAGATGGGAACTGGGGAATCACAAGAGGAACAAAGCTCAAGGGATTGAGCCAGAGTCCCAGACAGGAAGTAGTCAAAGGTGATGGTTATTGGTTGCCTAAAATGGTGATCAGGAGATCCAAAATGCAGCTTTCTGTCCCCACTGCTCAGATCTAGACTCATCTCCAAGGACTGGTGACTGTCACAACCCTGCCTCTTTGGAGGGATAACAGTCGGGCTTGAGTAGAGGGAAACCTTGGCATTGGATCTGGAACTAGGAGTGGCCTGGAGGCACAATTTTTTTTTCCTGTCTCCTACCCTAACCTTGTTCAGAGGCCCAGAGGCTGAGGCCGGAAGTGATCACGAAGATGGAAAATGTGGTCGGGCCTCATGATGCATCACTACCATGTCTGTTTGCAGTCAATGCACTCCCTGCACCCCACATCCCCACGCCCTTTTGCCTTGAGGAGGGCTGAAAAAAGCTGAGTTGGCAGCCAGTGGAGGAGGTGCCAAGAAGAGCTTCCTTTCCTCAAGACAGAGGACAGAAGGGGGATCAGCCTTGCTTGCATCAGCCCTCAGTGACTGAGCACAGCTACCTCCTCTGAGACGTGAAGTCATGATCGAGAAACCTGAGGTTTAAAGATAGTCATGTGCCTGTTGTACCATAGGGTGGAGCTGGAACTAGAACTCAGAGCTGTGTCCCAGATGACTTTCTGCTGGAAGGCTAAACCCCGTTTCTTACATTACAAATAAGGAAACTAAGGGCCAGAGTGGGCACAAGCAAAGCCCAAGCTGTACCCTGGACTCCTCTCCCCTGGCTCTGCCACTCTCTCCTACAGTGATGTTTGCTTTGTGGTTGGTCAAGAACGGAAGGAGGTATTTGCCCACCAGTGCTTGCTGGCTTGTAGATGCAACTTCTTCCAGCGACTTCTGGGCTCAGAGTCAGGCCCTGAGGTGCCTAGACCCGTGGTACTGAGCACGGTGCCAGCAGAAGCCTTCTTGGCAGTGCTGGAGTTCCTGTACACCAACAGTGTCAAGCTGCACCACCACTCCGTGAGCACCCTGAGCAGGGCTTGGGTGGGAGAGGCTGGGGTGCAGGAGTCTGCCTGCTACACTGTGGGCCCATGGGCAGGGGAAACTCCCTTGCTTCCTCAACTGCCCTCACTGCAGGTGCTGGAGGTGCTGACGGCAGCTGTGGAATATGGGCTGGAGGAACTTCGAGAGGTGGGTTCTTGAGCCAGGCCCTGTTTCTCTTGTCTCTCACGGGCTCAGTTCACACCCTGCTTCCCACACACTGACCTGGAGGGAACATGTCACACACAGATGAAAGCATGGATATTTCTCCGTGTGTGGAGGGCATGTTAGTATGTCTGTATGTAAAGGATTTTTACATGCCCTGTGTGTGCTGGGCAGGTGATAAAGGCATAACAACAAATCAGCCTGGTCCCTGAGAGGCGCTAAACATAGAAATGGAAATACTTAATCTGGTGGCAGAGTGTGATAGTTGAGAAAAAAAACCATGCTGAGGCCATGTAGGCAAAGAATTCCTGGAGGAGGAAACATTCATGTTGGATTTTGTCAGAGGGGAGTGGGAAGATGTTATAGTCAGAGTCACCAAAGTCACTAGTGTGAGATATTTGATGTGGCTAGATTAGAAGTGTGAGAATAGAACAGGGCCCAGGGTCTGGTTCATGCAAGGTCTTCAAGAATCTGGACTTTCGAACACCTATAATCCCAGCACTTGGGGAGGCTGAGGCCATGAGTTCGAGGCCAGCCTGGGCTATCTAGAAATTTTTTTTTTTTTTTGGTACCGGGGATCGAACTTGGATCCTTGCACTTGTGCAGTGGGCGGCGAAACCACTGAGCTAAATCCCCGGCCCCCAGCCTGGGCAATCTAGTGAGTTCAAGGCCAGCTTGAATTACAGAGTGAGACCTTGTCTTAAAAAATAATAATAAAGGGGCCCGGGATTTAGCTCAGTGGTTCTGGCACCTGACTGGCAAGTGAAAGCTCCCAAGTTTGATCTCTGGTACCAAAAACAAACAAACAAAAAATAATAAATAAAATAAAATAAACATCTGGACTTAAAGCTGGGCTGGGCAGCTCCCAACAACAAGCATGCTTGGGGCCTGGGGATTTAGCTCAGTGGTTTTGCCGCCTGCTGCCGCAAATGCAAGGACCCGAGTTTGATCCCTGGTACTAAAAAAAAAAAAAGAGTAACAAGCCTGCTCACTGCTTCTACGGTGCGACTCAGGACATCTCTACATAGCTCATACCCATTTCTGTTCCCAGTTGTGCCTGGAGTTTGTGGAGAAGGTGCTGGATGTGGAGCTGGTTTGTGAGGCCCTGCAGGTGGGTGTTGCTGGACTGGCCTGGGAGGAGTCTGGCTTTCAGTATGTAGTTCTAGGCTCCCGGTGGCTAGCCAGGCATGGAGTTCAAGGCCAGCCTGAACCACAAAGCAATATCCTGTCTCAAAACAAACAAACCCCTAAAAACAGCCAACCAAACCCAAAAACCTGTTGGGGCTAGAACAACTTGGGAACTTGAGAAGAGGCAGAAGTGCACCAAAGATGTTTATGGGATAAATACGGTGCCCATCGGCAGGGTAAGGTGTGGGAGCAAGAGCTGAAGGGTCAGAGGTCTCTACTGGTCTTCTGTCAAGGCCGGGGAAGGAGAAGAATAGGGTATGGAATTGAAGAGCGAAGCCTAGGGCACCAGGTGGAGTTTGAAGAATATGCTTGGTCTCCTTTAGAGTCTGCTTGTACGTGCATGTGATAATGGGGACTTTTACTGAGTTTAGTTTCCTGGGACACTATAAGCCTCAGTCAGCCTTTCCAGTTAGTGCTAAGGTCAGGATTCCAGTGATGGTCCCCTGTGCAGGGCTGAGCTACAGGGCTTCTCCAGTCTCCAACTTGACATCCCTCATTCTGTTCCCAGGTGGCTGTAACCTTTGGCCTAGGGCCGCTGCAGGAGAGATGCATAGCTTTTATAGAAGCCCACAGCCAGGTACCGCTCCTCAGCTACATACCCCCAAGCCCACACACCCCACCGTGCTCCCCCCTGACCCACTCCCGACCCACAGGAAGCGCTCCAGACCCGCGGCTTCCTGGAGTTGTCAGCTGCTGCGCTCCTGCCTCTGATGCGGAGCGACAAGCTCTGCGTGGATGAGGCTGAGCTGGTCCGGGCTGCCAGGAGCTGGGCGCGCGTGGGAGCGGTGAGTGGGGGCGGGAGGAGAGAGAGGGCACTATTGGCAGTGCCGGCCGCTGGCACCCAGGGAGCCAGCGGGGGTGGGGTGGGGGCAGGTCCTCTGGCCCTCCCGGGCTCAGGGCTGGCGTTCGCAGGCTGTGCTGGAGCGGCCTGTGGCCGAGGTGGCGGCCCCGGTGGTGCCAGAGCTGAGACTGGCCTTGCTGGCCCCGGCGGAGCTCAGCGCCCTGGAAGAGCAGAACCGGCGAGAGCCGCTCATCCCGGTGAGGAGGCGGAGAACCAGACCCAGCTGCTTGCAACGTGGCGAAAGGGAGCTGGAGGGCGTGGCTCGGCTCGGGGTCTTCGGAAATGGGGCACTGCAAGTCTGCGGTGACCAGCCTTCTCTTCCAGGTGGAGCAGATCGTGGAGGCGTGGAAGTGCCACGCTCTGCGGCGAGGGGATGCAGCCCAGGGGGCACCTTGCCGCCGCCGGAGGGGGACCCTGCCCCGGGAGCACCACCGCTTTCTGGACCTGCTCTTCAAATGACGCCAGGCCCCGTCTTGGGTCTGTCGAAACTTCAGCTCCCGACACACTCTGCGCTCGGAGCGGGCTTCTGCTCCTGGCATGCTTGACAAGCCCAGCGCCGGAAGAAGGTTCTGTGCAGGGCGCTAGCTGAGCCTGGTGCTTGGGGTGAGGTCTGTGGCGCGGGACAGTGAGAGGAGGGCTGGGCCTCGTGGCAAGGGCAAAACCCCAAAGCAAGGGTTCCTTCGCTCCACGCCCTCACTCTCCTAACCAGCCTGCTCTCCTGATTCCCACGTTTATCTGTTCAGTTTAGCCTCCCCTTTAATAACAGACCTGTCTCTTAGAGCTCCCGCCCAGAGTACCCTACAGACGACGCAGCACAGTGCTAAATCTAGTTTCTCATCTTTCAGAAGCTCTGCTCTCAGCGTGCCTGTCATTTGCGTGGGTGCCCACGCCGAACACTTGGATCTCATCCTTCCCTTACCCTTCTCCCACACCTGCCTCACGTAGCTTCTGCTTTTTTTTTTTTTTTTTTTTTCCCGAGACAGGGTCTTGTTACGTGGTTCAGACTGGCCTTGAACTCACTGTGTAGCCTAGGCTGGCCTGGAACTTGTGGCGATCCTCCTGCCTTAGCCTCCCAAGTGTGGGACCACAAGAATGTGCCACCATGCTGGGCTCACACATAATCCATTTTGTAAAGGTTAGGTGAATATTTTCCCATTTAAATCTCACTTTAGTCCATAGAATTTTTTTTTTTTTGTACTGGGGATCGAACTCGGGTCCTTGCACTTGCGCAGCAGGGGACGAAACCACTGAGCTAAATCCCCGGCCTAGAATTTTTGTTTTACTTTTTTATTTATTATTTTTTTACTTTTTTATTTCTTAGAATCACAGGGTGAGCCAAGCATGGTGGACCATGCCGGTAATTCCCAGCACTTGAGAGGCTGAGAGTCAGAATCTGTAGTTCAAGATCAGCGTGGGATACATATCGAGTTCAAGGCCAGCCATGGACTACAGTGGGGAGATCTTGTCTCACAAAAGCCAAAAAGGCCTGGCATGGTATCACACGCCTGTGATCCCAGCACTCCGGAAACTGAGGCAGGAGGCTTGCTGGGAGTTCGAGGCCAGCCTTAACTGTGCAGCCACACCCTGTCTCAAAGAACATGTGTGTGTGCGCGCGTGCGTGCAAAACTCGGTAGGAGAGCATGTGCGTGTGTGAGAGACCCTGGGCTCAATTCTCAGCACAAAACAAAGTCAGAACAAGTGGCATAGTGATTGTGTCTTTCAGGATACTTGAATTTAAACTCCACTTTCACCATTTACTGTCTTTGTGACTTGTCTGAGACTATATTCCATCATTCTATGACTCAACTTTTATGATATCAGGGATTGAATCCTGAGCCTTTCCTATGCTAGGCAGGTGTTCTACCACTCATCTGTATCCTAGCCCAGTTTTGTTATTTATAAAGTGGATATAAGAACCTATTTAGGTGTGGTGCACACCTGGAATCTGAGCAATCTGAGAGGTTGACCCAGGAGGACCACAAGTCAGAGCTCACTTTGAGACAGGTTATTCCTCTGTAGTCCAGGCTGGGCTCAAAGTCTTAGCCAGCCTCTTGCCTCAAGCGTTGGACCACTTGGCAAAATAAATTTTAAATATGCTGAGAACGTAGCTCAGTGAAAAGGCCCTGGGTTCACTCCCCCGTACTGGAAAAAAAAAAAATTAAAACAATAAAAATTAATTTTGTGAAACTCATAACTACTGGAACAGATTACAGAAACATGCACTCAAAAAATAAATGTATTTGTTCCACGTGTGTTCGTGTCGGAGAAATTGGTTCATCATCAAGACAAGTGAAATCAATTTCATAACTATCCCACAAACAAGGTCAGGTTTAAAAAAACATCGGTTGTCTCCGTAAGTACTTAAAAAGTAGAACAGTAAATAAAATTAATCCAAAAACACCAAACCTAAAAAATTAACACAAAAGTTAGCAAATACAAAAGCAAGCCGAAAAAAACCCATCAATATTTCCAAGAGTTAACTTCAATGTATCTCAAAAAAAAAAAAAACCCCTTACCTACACCGAACACAGTCAACAAATACAGTCTAATATTTTCACCAGTAGCTTGACAGTCTCGTTAAAAACGAGACCTCAAAAAATTGGATAATGACTCAGAATTGTTTCTCTCCACGGAAATCTTTAGTAAAAGGCGAAAGATTTATGCGATCTGAAGAGAAACCAGAGTATGCTGGTTTGGGTCCACTGCTGACCTCCCAGAGAGAGGGAATCCTTATCTCGGTTATGGTTGTTTAACACTGGCTGCACGAGCTACCTGGCTACAGTTCATGGAAGAATATCTTTCCCACCCGCGCCCCATGATTGTGGAGCATCACCGCGGGGATGGATCTCAAGCACTGCGGAGCGATCTTCTCGTGGTGCACCATGGGTATGCAAATTAGGGCGGCTGGCCCTGGATTCCAGACAGTCGCTCTTTACTGTTCTTTGCTCCGCAACTGGTGTGGCCGCGGGAGGTGTAGGCGCTTCCCTCCAGTGCCGGTGCCGAATGCCACGTGTCTCTTCTCTCGCCGGTCCTGGGAGTGGTAAATTAACAGTCCCCCATTGTTAGGGTTCTTCTGCCCTGTTCCTTATCGGCGTGGAGTCCCCAACCTAGGGAGGCAGAAATTAAAACCGCCGAGCAAAGCGCTCAAAGGCAGTGGGACGGCGCAGGAGGACATCGCCACCTCTTGGGGAAGATAGAATTCTGTTCTATTTTTTCCCCCCAGAATTTATTTTTAAAATTTAGTACATGTTTGCGGTACATAATGATTGTTTCTTGTGGGGAGTTGGTACAAACTTGTACATCTTAGTTCTTCTTTCATCCTTGGTCCTCCCCTCCCTAGCCCCATCCCTTGCTCCCTTTCCCATTTGAGAAAGAGCTGTCTCCCTGCTTCCTATTACCTGTCTTTTATTTTGCTGTTTAACTATATTTTGAGTTTCTCTTATAAGAGAAACCATGCAATATTTAAGCTTGTGTGTCTGATTTATTTCACTTAGTATTAAGGTCTCAAGGTGCATCTGTTTTCCTGCAGACAACTCGTTTATCCTTCTCGTTCCCTTTTTTTTTGGTACGGGGGATCGAACTCTGGACCTTGCACTTTCGAGGCAGACAGCGGCACCACTGAACTAAATCCCCAGCCCCGTTTATTCTTCTTTATGGCAGAGTAGCACTCTATTGTTTGTAAATACCATATTTTCCTCTCCTGTTTCTTTCTCCTCATTTTCTTTATCCGTTCATCTGTTGGTGTATATATAGGTTACTTCCAAGATTTAGCTATTATGGCTTTTTTGGGTTTTTTTTTGTGTGTGTGTGTGTGGTACCAAGGATCGAACTCAGGACCTTGCCCTTGCAAGGCAGGCAGCGGCACCACTGAGCTAAATCCCCAGCCCAGCTATTATGAATTGTTCTACTATAAACATGGGTGTGCATGTATCACTGTATTAGTAGGCCTTTAAAAAAAAAGTAGGTCTTTAACTCTTTCTGGAGAATACTTAGAGGGTGCATGGCTGGGTCAAATGGAATTTCTATTTTTACTTTATTTATTTTCCTTTGAGACAGGGTTTCCTATGTAGTTCATGATGGCCTTGAACTCACTAGATAGCCCAGGCTGGCCTTGAACTTGTGGTGATCCTCCTCCCTCAGTTTCCTGAGTGCTGGGATTACAGGTGTGCACCACAATGTCTGGCTACTTTTTATTTATTTTTAAATTTTTGACTACTTTTATTTTTGAGGAATCTCCACGCTGATTTCCACAGTGGTTGCACTAGTTCACATTCTTACCAATAATGTAGAAGGGTTCCTTTTCCCCTGCAGCCTCCAGCATTTGTTAATATTTGACTTCCTGATGATGCTACTCTTTCTTTCTGGTGTAAGATGGAATCTCAGTGTTGTTTTAATTTGCATTTCTGTAATGGCCAACAATGTTGAACTTTTTCATCATGTTTTTATTAGCCATTTGTACTTGTTCGAAGAAGTGTCTATTCATTTCAGTTGCCCCTTTTCTTTCTTTTTTTCTTTTTTTGGTACCGGTGATTGAACTTGAGACCTTGCGCTTGTGGTTGTGAGGCAAGCGGCGGCGCCACTGAGCTAAATCCTCGGCCCCAGGTGCCCGTATTTTGATTGAGTCTTTTATTTTGTGGGGGGGGTCTAATTTTTTGAGTTCTTTATGTATTTTAAATATTATTCTTCTGTCTAAGGAATAGCTGACGAATTTTTTTTCCCCATTTTGTATGTTGTCTCTTTACTCTATTGGTTGTTTTGCTGTTCCGAAGTTTTTCAATTTGTTATGATCCCATTTGTTTATTCTTGGTACTATTTGCTGTGCAACTGGGGTTCTGTTGACAAAGACCTCCCTATACCTATGACTTCATGAGTTTTACCTATTTTATCTTCCATCAGATTGTTTCTGTTTTAACATTTAAATCTTTTGATCCATTTTGATTTTAGTGTAGTCCATCTGGTCATTGTTTTGTTTTGTTTTGTTTTTGTGTTTTGGAGACAGGGTCTCGCTATGTTATTCAGGCTGACCTTGAACTCACTATGTAGTCCAGGCTGGCCTCAAACTCATGGCGATCTTCCTGCCTCAGCCTCCTGAGTGCTGAGATTACAGGCATGTGCCACCACACCTGATCTTTTTCTTCTTTGAATGTGAAATGAATCATTATGTACTGAAAACATGTACTAATAAAAAAAATTTAAATGTGGACTGCTCCATGCAATTGCATGTTATCCTTGTTCAGGGCCTGTGCTAATCTTCTATGTATTGTTACAATTTTAGTCTATGTGCTGCCAAAGAGAGTACCCTCTTCCATTTGTAGACATGTTAGCATTGATTCAACTGTATTAGCCTGTGTGTAGCTTTTGGCCAGAGATGAATGTCTGGGTGGGGTGGGTTGTGAGAAGGCACTGTTCTTGAACGGGATCATTCTGTGAGGGTGCATGGCTGGACCTGAGGTTATGTGTTAGCCCAGGGATGACTGGGGAGGGCACTGTATTGCAGCCCACCTAGGGATGTGGCCAGATTTGTAAGGCTTACATACGGCAAGCTGGCCACCCATCACTGCCTAGAGCTGAAATCCAATGCCCTTGTTGGTTGCTATCTACATTTCTGGACAGTTCCCCCACTGGGTAGCTGGCCAGAGCTGCCTCCCACCTGTCTGGCTGATGTACAGAGGCTTTGACCTGAAAGTTGCTCTGGCTGTAGCTCCTTTTCCTCAGTCATGAACCTCCTAAAGCCTCTCCTCAGGCCCTGCTCTCTCTTTCTCTGCTTCAATTGGCCACTTTTCCAATCTGCTTCTACTTTGCCTTCTGTCTCATGGCTTTGACCCCTATTCTTGTCCCTCATGCTGATGAGGCGGGAAGGTGGGCATTATGTCTGGAGAGGTGGGCAGGGCTAGAATACAATGCTTCTGAAAAACCACACAGTAGCCGGGCATAGTGGCACATGCCTGTAGTCCTAGCACTTGGGAGGCTGAGGTAGGAGGAGTGCTGCAAGTTCAAGGCCAGCCTGGGCTACATAGCAAAACCGTGTCTCAAAAACAAAATAAACAGGGCTGGGGATTTAGCTAACTGGTTCTGCCATTTGCCTCAAAATTGCAAGGCCCCGAGTTCGATCCCCGGTACCAAAAAAACAACAATAACAAAACAAAAATAAACAAACAAAAAAACCAAACCACCCCAAAAAAACCACACAGTAGAGCTTGACACCAAATATACTTGTATCATTTTATATACTAAGCACTTCAGATTGTTACCAAGATTATGACAAAAATTCAGAATCTAGGGTCTTTCCCACCCAGAACTAGAGAAGCCCCAGGATCTCAGGCCCCAACACCTCATAAGCCACCCCAATCTCTAATCCTATTATAGTTCAGATCTGGAAAACCCCCCAAATCTCATGAGTGTAGAGGTGGGGCTTTTAGAAGGTGAGCAGCTCATGGGGCTGCTGTGAGGTGGTGGGGCTCAGTTGGAAGAGGTGGGTGCTTGGGGCATGCTGTCCCTCCCCAGGGCCTCTCTTCTTCCTCTGCTTCTTGACTGCCATGAAGGGAGCGGCTTTCTTCCACCTTGCTCTTTCTGCCTTGGAGTCAGCCAACAATTGACTGAACCCCCTGAACCATGAACTAAATTAAACCTCTCCTCCTTTGTGTCAGGTATTGCGTCTCAGCAATGGGAAAGCTGACTAATACATTTATTTACAAACTTCCAACTCTGCCCAAAAGAAAACCACACAGTCAACACAGTCATTTGAGATGAGTTCGTAAGAATATATTTCATTCTTTAAAAATATAACTTTCAGCAGAGCTAACCTCTATGTATACTACAAAAATAAACATCTTCATATAAATAATTTATAGGAGGTGGACAGGGCTATACAGAGCCTACCTAGAAGTCACCAAGCAGTGAGGGGCCAGGATTGGCCCAGGGTGCTTGAGGGCCCCTAAGGGCTAGACTCATGTGGGCGGCACCATGGAGAGGGACGGAGGTGCTCTACAGCCTGCAGTGCTGGCTTTTACACCCGGCTGAACACAGACATGGGGTACATGGGCCCTGGTGCACTAGGCTGTTCTGCCTGGATGTCAGGCAGGTCTGTGATGGCTGAGTCAAGGATGCAGACAGCAGCAGCAGGGCCCGCCAGGGGCCCATTTTGTACTGCACACCCCATCCATGGCTTTCCAGTGATGTCATGTGGCCCAAGCAGGGCCTCTGCTTCCACTGCTCCTTTATTCAGTGGCTGGACATGGCCCCCTAGAGCTGGGGTTGCCAGCAGTGTTGGCAGCTGGAGTGGCAACAGAGGACCACGTGGACTCGTCAGAGGCTGCGTGGACATAGGCACCAGGGAGTGGGGGTGGGTGGAAGGCCACAGTCATGGAGGTAGTCACTCTGGTGTAGCTCTGGGGCAGGCTGGGAGACAACCCCCACCTGAGCCCGCTGTCCTGTGCAGCTGCAGGGCTCAGGACTTGTGGGCTCTCCTTGTACATCTGCACCACCTGGGGGAGAGATGCCAGGGCTGGTGAGCAGAGTGTGGGGGTGGCTGGACTGCAGTGCCCTTGAGCACCTCCCTAGTGAGCACCATGCTTATTGTTAAGCATGGGCCCTCCGTGTTGGCCTCCAGCAGGATGACAGCTCACAGGGAGAAGCTGTCAAGGCCTGGGACAAACCCTGTACCTTGTTCTGGATCCTAAAAGGCTAAGGCGGGTCCCAAGAAGAAGCCAGGGAGGCTGAGGGGCAGAAGCATGGCATCTAAGGGAAGGAGGCTGCCAATTTCTGCTGGTGGTGTCTGTTGGGAGGGCCTTGGTGGGCTGAGCTTTGCTGGCCATGGGAGGCATTTCATAATTGCTCAGTCCCTTCCCTTGGTCGTCTCCACCCTATCCCTGGGGCTGGGAGCGAACCTCTGGCGGGGGGCCCAGGATGGACAGCAGCACAGGCAGCAGCACAAGTCCATGGAGGAGGCCCAAGAGGGTGAGCACTGTCAGCACCATGAAGAAGTACCTGGTGGGAAGAGGGCATCAGCCAGCGGGTGCTGAGGCCAGTGTGGGCAGACCCTGCCACCTCCTCCGAGCCTTCCTTACCTCACGATGAAGTCAAAGTTGGAACCGGCAAGCATGAGCAGACCCAGCAGTGTGGACACAGCTCCATCGGTCACGGGGGCGAATGTGTGCTCCAGGGCACAGACAGCCCGAAGGTTCCGGCTACCCTGGGTGGTCAGGAAGCCCTGGGGGAATGGAGTGGTTTTGCAGCTCCTCTAGGGTCTGCTAGCCATGGCCAGCTCATCCATGTCCTTGCCTGCTACTTCTCTGTTCTCAAGGCTCAGCCATGCCTCAGCCTTCAGAAGGCCAAGTGAACTGAGTTTATGAGTGCACAGTATGGATTTGTCTGGTGACACAGGAAGATGTCCAGAATAGGGTGGGAAAACTACAGCCTGTTTTTCTTTTTCTTTTCTTTGGTACCAGGGATCGAACTCTGGACACAAGCGCAAGGTTGTGAGCCAGGCGCGGTGATCACCTGTGTTTTGTAAATAAAGTTTTGTTGGGCCAAGGATTTAGCCCAGTGGCACCACGCCTGCCTCACAAGGAAAGATCTTGATCCCCAGTACCACACACACAAAAAAGAGGAGTAAATAAAATTTTGTTGAACTATCACCACACCCATTCTAATGTATTTGGTGTACTTGGGATTGAAACCAGGGGCAGTCTACTACCAAACTAAATCTCCATCCCTTTTCAAAATTTTGTGACAGGATCTTGTTAAATTGCCCAGGCCAATCTTGAACTTGTCATCTTCTAGTCTCCAGCCTCTCAAATAGCTAGGATTGGGCCGGGGATTTAGCTCAGTGGTTTCGACGCCTGCTGCCCAAGCACAAGGACCCGAGTTCGATCCCTGGTACAAAAAAAAAAAAAAAAGCTAGGATCACAGGTGTGCACCATTGTGCCTAGCTGCTTTTTTTTTTTTTTTTTGGCACAGGGGATCAAACTCAGGACCTTTCGCTTTTGAGACAGATGGCGGCACCACTGAGGTAAATCCCCGGCCCTTTTTCGTTGTTGTTTTTGACACAGGGTCTTACTATGTAGTTTAGGCTGCTCTTGAACTTACTAGGTAACTCAGGCTGGCCTCGAACTCACAGTGATCTTCTGCCTCAGCCTCCCAGGTGCTGGGATTACAGGTGTACAGCACTACACCTTTCTTTTCTTCTTTTTTTTTTCTGACCCTGAACTTGCTGTGCATCCCAGGCTGGCTTCTAACTCACAATCCTCCTGCCTAAGCCTCCCGAGTGCTGGGACTACAGGCTTACACACTGTGCCCAGTTAATGGCTGCTTTTGTGCCTTTTTTTTTTTTGGTACTGGGGATCGAACTTGGGTGGTAGAACCACTGAGCTAAATCCCTGGCCCATGCTTTGGTGCCTTGATGGGGAAATTGTGACACTTTATGGCCTCCTGAGGCTGAAATATTTTTCCTTGGGTCTTTACAGGAAATATTTGCCAACTCCTGGCCCAGAGGGATGGACACTGAGGTAATAAGTCACTTCTCAGGGTGACATTTCATAGGATTCCTAATTCTTTCTTTATATATATTTTTTACACACTGGCTATTTTATTTTCCATACTGGGGACTGAACCAGGGCCTTTGCACTCAACTACATTCCTACCCCTTTTTTTGAATTTTTTTGTTTTGAGACAATCTCACTAAGTCACTAAGTTGCACAGACTGGGCTCAAACTTGTGACCCTCCTGCCTCAGGTTCCCAGGATGCTGGGATTCCAGGTGAGTGCCACCATGCCCAGACTGCACACTGGCTTATTCTTAGTTAGTTCATTTTGGCGGTGCTGGGGATTGACACCAGGGCCTTATCTATCAGGGCTAGGCAAGTGAGCTATGACTGAGCCACACCTCAGTGCCTGTGTGTGTGTGTGTGTGTGTGTGTGTGTGTGTGTTTTTCAAGGGCCATATCCTTCTTATAGTCAGAATGATGACAGGGCTCCATGAGGGAGGGAGGGAGGGACCTGTGTGTGTGGCCTGACCAGGTTTATGTTGGTGCTTCCAGATGGTCTGGGCCTCCCTTCCTCTGGTGGAGAACACACAGCTTTGGCAGAGGACTGTGCCCTCCCCAGTTCTAGCACGTGTCCCATGCCGCCCAGATAGCACCCCACTTCTCTCATCTCCTCACAGTAAAACCACTGACAACAACTGCTGGTTGCTGGGGATGGGGGTGCAGCTCAGTGGTACAGCACTTGGCTAACATGTACGAGGCTTTAAGTTTGATTCCCAGCATTGAAAAAAGAAAGAAGAAAAGGAAGGCAGGTGCCAGGCATGGTGGCACACACCTATAATCCCAGCACTGGGGAGGCTGAGGGAGGAGAATCTCGATGAGTTCAAGGCCAGCCTGAATTACTGAATTACATAATGAATCTCTCTCTCTCTCTCAAAAATCACTGGTTCCTGTTTTCTCACCTTCCACTCCATCCTTAACCCATTCCAGACAGGCTTTTGTCATTTTTTTTTTTTTTTGGTATGGGGGATTGAACTCGGGTCCTTGTCCTTGCACAGCAGGCAGTGAAACCACTGAGCTAAATCCCCGGCCCTGTCATCTTCTCTTTACTGAACTGATTGCTTATTTGTTTACTTATTTTCAATTTCTAACCCCTAATACAAGCTCCTTGGAAGTAAGGCTGTATTGCTACTGTATTCCCAATTCTTTTTTCCTCTTAGTACCGGGGATTGAACTTGGGACCTTGCACTTGTGAGGCAGGCGGTGGCATCACTGAGCTAAATCCCTGGCCCTTTTCCCAATTCTTAAACAGCCTCTAGCCACAGAAGGTGTTTAATCCAGCTGGGCTTGGAGGCAAACATTTGTAATCTCAGCACTTGAGAGGCTGAGGCAGGAGGATTGTTGTGAGTTCGAGGCCAGCTTGGGCTACACAGTGAGTTCAAGGCTAGCCTGGACTACAAAGTGAGACCCTATCTCAAAAAACAAAATAACAGGGCCTGGGATTTAGCTCAGTGGTGCCACGCCTGCCTCACAAGCACAAGGTTCTGAGTTCGATTCCGGTATGGCAACAAAACAAAAAAACCAAATAGACAAACCCAAAAGAAAAAAAAAGGTGCTTAACCATATTTGCTGAATCCTGAATCAGCTGACTTGTCCCTCCCCCAGTGCCTGTGCTCACCAGGGCCACATGGACTGTGAATTCGACGCCGATGCCTACAGAGGCCACAAGGATCACCACGGGGATGGCGCTCAGCTTGATGCCCAGGAAGCCCATGATACCAAAGAGCTCCACAGTCATCATGGCCAGGACCAGCACCTAGGGAGGCAGGGCTCACTCAGGGATCCTGGCAGGAAGGGAAGGGCACTGGGCTACAGAGAGCAGGTGGGGCTGCCCTGGGGTCTCTCTGACCCCACCCTGAAGTACTCACAATGAGAACAGCTGTCCAGGGGCTGAGCAGCAGCAGGGCACAGACTAGGAAGGTGCACACCAGCAGGATGCAGACAGCCAGCAAGAAGCAGCGCCACAGGTCCAGATACTGCTCCCAGAAGAGGAAGGGGGAGCCGCTGGGGTAGGCACGAACCCCTGCCTGGCCTGCCTCTGCACAGGCTGCTCGGGCCCCCTCGATGGCCTCCACGAAGTCTGCAGTCTCCTGGAGGCCATGCAGCAGGAAGGGGAACTGGGCAAACTCCAGGGGCTGCGCAGCTGGGACTGTGAACAGAGGGAGAGAACAGGTGGAGGGAGGAAGGACAGTGAGCTCAGGGAACGACGGGAAGGTCCCTTCGGTCAGGGCAGTGGGAGCTGGGCCAAGGCTGAGCCTCCCCTGTACTCACTGTGAAGGTTCTCCCCAGTGGTGTCGAATCTGTTGTGCAGCCATTCGGGAGGTGGGGGGTAGAAGTTGGCCTGTGAGGCTGCCAGCCCCAGGGGGTCACTGCTCACCCACACAGTTAGCCCCATATAGAAGAGCTCTGGGGGGATCAGGCCTTCCTTGTCCACCAGCTTCCTTGTGGTCAGCTGCAGAGGTAAAAGGGTCTGAGGGCCTGGGGATGGAGTCTCCAGCTGCTCTGTGCCCCCGACCATTCAGGCCTTCTCCAGACCTGGCTGAAATCCAGAGGTTCCTGGGCATTTCCGGTCTGGATGAGCAGCTTGTAGGCCAGGGCCCCATCCTCAGAGCCATTTCGGTAGGAGTGGCGGGTAATTCGTCCAGAAGCCCAGTCCTGGTCAAACGCAGCCTGGATTCCTGGGAGACAGCAGGATAAGGTGCAGTTAGCACCTTAGTACAGGTGGGCTGTACCCTGCAGTATACCACCCTGCCAGTCTCCTGGCCTCTCACCCTGTAGCCAGTTGCGGTAATAGTGCAGCCAGGTTCGGGGTGTGTGGGTGGCAGGCGGGGGCAAAACAGCCTTGAGGGAACTGAAGCGCTGGTGCAGATCAAAGAGGGCACGTTGGGAGTGGGCGTAGTCAAAGCCACCCTGGGTCACCACGGCCACCTCGTACAGGGAGAAGTACCTGAGCTGGGCGCTCAGGAAGGCATGTTCCTTGGTGCTCCGAGGCACCACATCGGTCAGGGCCAGCCCATCCTGCACCAAGGTGGCTCCGTAGAGGCTCAGGGCCAGAAGAGCCCCAAAGAACACCAGCACCATGGCCTGTGGGAAATGGCAACTAAGCCAGGGCCCAGGGCTGCCCTCCAGCTCTCAGATGGTGGGCCAGGCCCGCTGCCTTTCTTGGGGCCCACGGATACTGAGCCTCTGCTCTGCCCACCCCTCTTACCTTGGCATGTGACTGGAGCAGCAAGGGTGCAAACCGATACCGGGCGAAATGGGCAAGATTCCAGCAGGCACAAGGGAGTGACTTGAAGGCTGGCTTCTGCCTTGACCCCTCCTCTTGGTCTAGAAGGTCCCGTGTGGAGCCTCGAGGGCTGAAGAGCTCAGAGGCCAGTGGGTCAGAAGGTGGGGGCACCAGGTGGGCTTGAGGAGGCAAGATGGTGACCACATGCTGGCTGCTGGCTTCACAGTGAGTGAAAGCTTGTACTGTGGTGGTCAGGTGGGCAATGCCCACTGGTAGTGTCCTATTCCCCAGCTCTTGGGGCAGAATCTGAATCACTCGAGCAGAACAGGGGCTAGAAGAGGCAGAGAGAATGCATGCCAGGCCCAGGCCTTGAAATGCTAGGAAGGAGACAGGCAGGGCTGGAGTCAAGGAACCAAAGAGGTGGGCAGGCGGGGACAGTACCTGGAGAAGCAGCAGAGCACATCAAGGCGCTGGCAGTGGCGCCGGTGCAGGTCCAGGCTGAGGATGGCTGGGAAGATGAGCATCACTGCTGTGAAGTTGCAGCCAACCACAACAGCCGCCTGGGGGTGGACAGGAGGGCACGAACGCTACCTGAGGCACGGCCTAGCTCCACGCCCACTCCTGCCCACTGCCCGTTCATGAGGCCTCACCTGCAGGGAGAAGGCCCGCAGTGCAGGGATGGGAACCAGGGCAGCCATGAAGAAGGCAACCATGTTGTTGATGGATGTGAGTGCGACGCTGGTGCCCGTGCGCTGCAGACACTCGCCCATGCGCTCCTGCCAGCACAGAGCAGGGACAATGCCATCAGCTCACGGGGAGGGGCCATGGGTCTTCTTGCAGAGCGAAGGGAGGCTCTGGAAGTTGGGGTGGCAGAAGTGGGGTAATAATGCCACAGCAGCTCATGTTTACTGAGTACCACGAATGTGTCATGTGGTCATCTGTTTATTTTTTTGAGTTACTAGGGATTGAACTGAGGGCCTTCACACTTACCTACATCCCCAGCTTTTTAAATTTCTATCACTCCCTAAGTTCTTTCTGCCCAAGTTGCCCACGTGGGATTCGAATTTGCAATCCTCCTGCCTCAGCCTCCCAAAGGGCTGGGATTATGTGCTACCATGTCAGTGCCATGTTTTGTTCTAAGGACTCATCTTGGTTATCTCCTCACAACAACCTCAGGACACAAGTATAATCACTACCTCCATTCAGAGATGGGGTGAATGCGTGAGCTAGTAGTAGTCCGAGGTCACTTGGATCAAGAGGCTCTTAACCTGATCTGCCTCAGAGGGCCCAGGCTGGAGGATGGGGGTCTCACCTGGAGGGGGGTGCCAGGTGGGGCCTTTGTGAAGGCATGTGCCATCAGGAATATGTCATCCACACCAATGCCCAGTGCCAAGAAGGGCAGCACCTGGAGGGGAAAGGGTAGGCAGCCGGAGGAACTATACAGCCTGGTGATCACCCCCAAGAAGGCCCTGCAGTCCTGCACACCTGAGTAGTAGCAGCATTGAAGGCAATGCCGAGCATGGCACAGAGCCCAAGGCCTGAGGCCACTGCCAGGGCCACCAGCAACACCCCAGCAAGGCCCACGGTCCCCTGAGACTGGGCACAGTCCCACCGTAGCATTGTCACACAGGCGTAGGCCAGCTGTGGGGACAGAGGTTGCAGTCTTAGAGAGGGGCTTCTGGGGTGGGGACTAGGTGGAGTGGGGCAAGGTGCCAGGAGCAGGACTCACCATTAGTAGATAGCCTCCCACCACACGTGAAGCGCTGACTTCCGAGAAGGCATGCAGGATGTCCTCCAGGGTGGTGGAAGAGAAGGCATAGATCTGCTGCGATGAGTTCTCAGGCAGGGCTTCCTGGGCCAGCTGGAGAAACAGGGTGGATCTGAGGGAGGAGGAGAGTGGAGCCCCCGGGCACCCTTCCTGGTCCCAGTACACACTAACCTGTACAAATCGCCGCTGCCAGGCTTGTAGCACTATGCCAGCCTGCTCTTCACTCCAGCCGATGTCGTGGGTCTGGTAGTCGCCTCGGAAGTGCTCATACAGCTGGTGGGGACTCATGAGCAGGAAAGTGCTCTGGAGGGCCTCTGCCCTGATTTGGAGTACAGGAGTAGGAGTCAGAGATGCTCAGACACCCCGGGGGTATGCAGTGGGCTGTTGCCAGAGCTGCCTGGCATTTGGAGTGTGGAGATTCCCGTCATGGGGTGCCCTCACCAGCTCCCAGGAGGCCCTACCTCAGTAGCTGTCCTCGGGGGTCTCGGGCCATGCCTCCTAGCAACAATTCCTCTTGCCAGTGCATGAATTTATGAGAGAAGCCATGGCATCCTCCACTCAGCTCCTGAGCCACATTGGGAGCCTGCACGGGGAAGGAATGGGTTTAATACTCAAAGCCCTGGCTGTGGGTATCCCTGGGATTGTAGGAACCATGCCCACCACAGAGCTCAGCAGGCCTGAAGTATAGGAAACTTTCTCCTGAGCCTCTGCCTGCTCTGTAAGAGTGAACAGCTAGGGTCCTGCACGACAGGAGGCTGCAAGACGGACAGGGACCTGGAAACAGCTGCTGGGAGGAACTGGCGTGACTATGGTGGGTTTTGGAAAAAGTACTACACAGAGAGCCACAAGGATGCTTGGGAAACTAGGCATGGTATTTGTGCTTAGCTATTTTGTCCTTACTTTCCTGTTAATTTTGATAAAGTCTAGCTTTGGACTTAGAAAAGGAGAAAAGGATTCATCTGCCACTTGAGGGTTCCTTAGGAGAAGGGAGTCGAAATGGAATACTCCCAGGGTTCAGCATGGAGGGCAGGGGGCAACATCCAGGGCGTGGGCTGGGGACTGAGTACAGAGCAGTCAGTTCTTTCAGAACAGAGGGACACATGAGGAGGAGGGGAGGGAGCAGCCTTCTCCCCTGGCAGACCTGGTCAGAACCCACCTGCCTGCTGCGGTGGTTGGGGGCAGTAGGAGGGCACTGGAGGTCATCGGGGTCCAGACAGGGGCGCCCTACATAGGCTTGGCCCACTTGTGCCTTGTCTAACAGTTCCCGAAAGCCTTCTAGGGAGGCAAAGGGGCCCAGTTCCTCGAGCAGCTGCTCTGGATTCAGGTTGGTCCACTGGATATCAGGGCGGCCCCTGGTGGGAGAGCTCATGGTTATCAAGAGTCAGGGATCAATATCCACTCTCCAAACGGTGGCTGTGGACCTGTGCTGCACACCACCCTCCTAAGGTGTTATCTGCTCCGTTTCTCAGAGTTGCCAGGCTACCCGAGCCCACCACATTCCTACAGTGATCTGGGGACGGGTACAAGGGGGCAGAGATGCATCAGGCTGGATATACTTAACACATGGAAAGGGCCAGCCAAGTCCCACTGAGTGTACACCGAGCTGCCTACCCTTGGTTCTAATAACCACACAGGCACCTGCATCTCACAGGTTTTCTTTCTGGCCCAGGCAACAGCTTAGCTGATAACTAGCTTACCCCCCCCCCCATTCTTTCTGAGATCTCTTTCCTCGTTTGCTGAGATCTTACAGATCCTTGTATTCTGTTTGGTCTAAACGAGATAGGTCTTCCCCTCCTTCGGAGATGAGAAGGGGCTACAGAGAGTGACACAGCCCATGTTCTGGCCCTGGACTGGGAGGGGATTAGGACTTGGCAAGGTTCTCATCCTCCTCTTTCCTCCCACCCTCCTCTCTGCTGGGGAAGTCCCTGGGGGGAGGTGAAGCAGGGCCCAGGAGCAGTGTGGGGCACTCACGGCAAGTAGGCAGAGCCCCCTTGGAGTTTGGCTCCTTCCCAGAAGCAGTCAAGTGGTGTGAGGATCACACATGGAAACAGCTTCTCAATCATCTGTCAAGGACAGCCCCGGCCACATCAGTCCTGCCCTGGACTCCTGACTCCTCAACCTTTGTAGGACGCCCTCTGCAGGCTGCCCAAAGGTCTTCCCTGTGGCCCAGCCTCCGAGTCCCTCCGGGTGTCCCCACACTGCAGAAAAGGTCTCGCCTCTCCCCAGGCATGTGTTCTACCCCCACCCCCACCCTGTGGCGAAAGTTCAGGACACTCACCCGCTCAATCATTCCATTTTCAATAAGGGGAACTCCTGACTTATAGCAGATTTTGTTCAAATCCCAGGACCTGCAAAAGCCAGGGGCACAGGTGATCAGCAGCCAGGGGGATTCCCATTTCAGAAGTGTTGGCAGCAGGCTTCATCCCAGCTGCTCAGGGGCTCAGCCAGACTCACTTTCCATACAGCGATACTTGCACTTTACTGGCAGTAAAGGCTGCTTGGAGGTGGAGGCCAAGTGCTTCTGATGTGAGGACATTCTTCCCCTCCTGGCGGGCGGTCTGAATCAACATCTGGGAGGTGTAGGCAGCTTCCTCTCCCAGCTTCTCCTTGGTATAATGCAGCTCTTGACTCACTCGGCTGCCCACTGCCAGGGTGAGAAAGAACGTTGAGGGAAAAGGGCCCTGGGAGGATCAGAGCTCAGAGGGTGGAGGGATCCTAATCTCTGAGGGCTCCCCAGGGGTCAGGGGCAGAGGCAGTGCTTCAAGGAGACCCTGCCTTCCCGACAGCCTTGTAGGGCCCTGACTGACGCCTCATGTTCCTGCCAGGGAAGTGGAAAATACTCAGTTGCATGGGTCTATGGATTTCTTTTATATATTTTTTAAAACTTTTTTTGGTACCGGGGATCAAACTCGGGACGTTGCACTTGCGAGGCAGGCACAGTGCCACTGAGCTACATCCCTGGCTCCTCTTTTACATTTTAATTAAAAATTTTTATTATTATTTTTCTTTGAGACAAGGTCTTGCTATGTAGCTTAGGCTCATCTTGAACTCTCTATGTTGCCCAGGCTGGCCTAGAACTCATAGTGATCCTCCTGCCTCAGCCTCCCAAGTGCTAGGATTACAGATGTTCACTACCATGCCCAGCTGTTTATGGATTTTTATGTAGTTCAGGGTTTAAGCATGAACCAGATTGGCTGGGTGTGGAGCAAAAACTTAAAAATGAGCATGAGCTGGACCTGGGCTGGGGTTAAGGGAGCATAGAACATGTTGGTAGAGGGGCCCAGACTCAGTCTCTCTCCGCTTCAGTAGGCAGACAAGGGACAACAGGGGCCAGGATGGGGTGCCAATGGGGAAGCTTTCCTAAAAGCACCGGCGTAGGGGTGGAGCTGGGTCTTCGTTCAGGACGCCACACTCCTTCCTGCAAAAAGCTCTGGAAGGGTGCAGGGACAGCAGTGCCTAGCAATGGTGGGTGGCACGGTGTCGGGGAGGATCAGCCTTTTTTTGTTTTTTTTTGGAAGACACAGTTTCACTTTGTAGTTCAGGCTGGCCTTGAACTCACTATGTAGCCCAGGCTGGCCTCAAACTTGCATCGATCCTCCTGCCTCAATCTCCCAAGTGCTGGGATTACAGGTGTGTGGCACCACGCCCGCCAGGATCAGTCTTTTAGTAGGATGCTGCCACCTGCTCAGGGAAGGACGTGGAATCAGCATGTGTGCCCTGGCAGAGGTGGAATCAAAGTGGGCCACAAGGTGCAGATCCCTTTCAGTAGCCTCACTGTCCAGACCAAAAGTGGGCCCCCTGCCCAGGCCTGCCTGTGTCTCCTTGGTCTTAGCATCCCTTAGGGGCTGCACTATGCGGTCACTGGGGCCTGGGGAGGCAGCGACGCTGTGAGGTGAGGTGGTCAAACTTTGGCTTTGAGGGTGAGGGCCACAGCCTGGGGGCTCTGTGGAGTTAGTCTGGTTTCAGACCTAGTTCTGTTCCTACTTGTCCAGGGGCCTCTTCCTGCTGCTTACTCCTACTCTCTGGGATCCTCTCTGTGACACTGGCCTCACCTGGGATCATCATGCTCCTCAATTTCTTTTATACTTTTTTTTTTTGGTACCGGGGATCGAATTCAGGACCTTGTGCTGGTGGAACCACTGAGCTAAATCCCCGACCCTGTACTTTTTAAAGAGACACGGTCTATTTATATTGCCTTGGCTCAAGCACTCCTGCCTCAGCCTTCCGAGTGGCTGGATCTACAGATGTATGCCACTGTGCCCAGCTTCTCAGTCCTTTTCTAAACCCACATAATCTCTTCACTCTGAGTGCCCCAAATCCATTGCAGGTTTCCCCGTGTGCTCACAGCACCCCTCCTACTCATACTTAGTCTTCTCTCAGGAATACAGCCCCACACACCCACACTGCTCCCCTCCCATGTCACACCCCACCCCTACTCTTTTTTCTTCCTTCACCATCCCTCGCTCCTTTCCCAGGCCTGTTCTGCAGTGTTTGTTTAGGCTTAGGTCAGCAGGAGGGAGCACAGAGATAAGTTCCCCATAGTAAGTGGGTTTCCTGAGGGCCAGGAGGGACCAGAGAAGAAAGAAACCCAGGGAGGTCTGATAAGAAAGTAAGAGAGTGCAGTGGTGCACGCCTATAATTCCAGCACACTGGAGGCTGAGGCAGGAGGTTCACTGTGAGTTTGAGATCAGCCTGGGCTACATAGTGAGTTCCTTAGCTTGAACTACATAATAGTGAAACTGTGTCTCAAGAAACAAAATACAAACAAACAAACAAAGAGCAAGAGAAACAGACAATGTAAAATACATCAGTGAGACTAAAGAATCCTCAGGGAAAAAATGGGGAAGAGAAAAAGATAAACCTCGGCCAACTTGGAGGATGACAGAGGAAGCTGGATGTGTTGTACAGGAAGGAAGAGACAGTGGACATATGGAAGAGGAAGAAGGCACTGTTCAGACCTTTCAGCTCTGGCTCCAACACTTCGTTTGTGCCTCAGATAAATTTCTCCAAGCCTTAATTTACTCATCTATAAAATGGGGACAATGCCTACCTCAGTAGAAGCAAAATCAAGGCAGGCAGAGTATTCAGAAACTGACTGGCACTTAGTAGATACAGATATGTGCTTGCTGTCCAGTAGTTGGTGGGAAGAGAAATGATGTGACAGAAAAATGAGAAAGCACTAGAGGAAAAAGGACTGTGGGTAAGTGGGGAGGAAATAGAACAAGGGAGGGAGAATATAAAAATGAATACAGTTGTTAAAAACTTTTCTATCTTTACAAAAGGGAAGATGTAACTCTGTTTACCAATATGGAAAAGGCCCACCTTATGGTAATCTCATAAATGCCAAGTTAAAACAGCAACAAGTTACTATCACCAAATAAGCAAAAATTTAAAAATTGCTATTGCTGGGTGTAATGGTGCACACCTGTAATCCCAGTATTCAGGAGGCTGAGGCAGGAGTATTGCTGCAAGTTTGAGGCCAGCCTGGGCTGCATAGTGAGTTCAAGGCCAGCCTGAATTATAGAGTGAGACTTTATCTCAAAACAAATTTTTTTTTTTTGCTATCATCCATTGCTGGCTTATAGGAGTCCAACATAAGACTGTAATTTAGCGCACTATTTGGGGGAAAAGCAATACTACAATATTCATGCTTATACCATCTGGCCCAGAAACTTCATGTGTAAAGGTCTGTGAGCTACTATAGGGCTTGGGCTTTTTCTGAGTGAAATGGAATAGGGTTGTTTTTGGGCAGTGGAGTGAGATAATATGACTTTGTCATTACCCAACAAGTGAGAGTTGGCCCAGGGAGGAGGTCAGGGAAAGGTGTTTGGACACTGTGTGTGCAGGGAACTGCTGAAAGCCTGGAGTTTCATGAGGGAGAATACTATAAAAGGGCAATGCCAATTTTTAGAATTGTTTTCCTTAGTTTCTTTCTTTCTTCGTTTTGTTTTAAGGTAAGGTCTTGCTGTGTTGGTCAGGCTAGCCTTGAACTCACTGTGGAGCCCAAGCTGGCCTTAAATTTGAAGCGGTCCTCCTGCCTCAGCCTCTGGACTGTGGTGATTACAGGCATGTGCCACCACACTTGGCTTTTTCCCTTAATTTCAGAATATCTTTCTGTCCTGTATTGGCTGGAGGTGACTGTTAAGAGTGAGTTAAGGAGGAGCCAAGGGCAATGCTGGAGAAGCAATTGAGTCAGAGTATGGAGGGGCTAGAGTGTGGGCCATGGAGGTTATACATGACCTGGAGACTTCACAGAACCTGGTAGAAACTGGTAGAAGGGCTGTAAGCAGGAACTGACTCCGCCAGATTTAGAGACACCATAGGGTGGTGCCATAGAGGCAAAAACCCAACCTGCTGAAGATGACAGAGGAGAGAGAGAAAGAAGCTAGAACTGCTGGTGTTCTTGGGCTGCTGGATTAACCACACTGGAATGTCCCTACTGCCAGGCCTCCTGTGACAGAGAATAATACATCAGTCTTTTCCCATCCTTCCTATCTATCATTCTCCTTCCTTCTTTTCTTTCTCTCTCATGGGGCTAAAAAGATTCTAAATGATAAAATTAAGAGTATTTTAGCTGGGTGTGGTTGCACACACCTTTAACCCCAGCACTCACGAGGCTGAGGCAGGTGCTCAATTCGGTAGCACATACACTAAAAGAGGCTGAGGCAGGAGGATTGCTCCAAGTTCAAGACCAGCCTGGGCTACATAGTGAGTTCAAGGCCAGCCTGAACTACATAGTGAGACCTTTTCTCAACAAAACAAAACAAAAGAAAACAAAGAAAAAAGAAATCAGGAGTGTTTTGCGGGAGACTGAAAAAGGACTAAACTAGAGCACCGATCAGAAGAGTGGAAAGGGCAGGTTTATTATGAGAAAGGTTAAAAAGGAAGAATTTACTGGTTTGGTAACAAATTAGGTGAGTGAGAAAAACTGAGGCTGACACTCAAGGATTTAGGGTTAGGCACTTGGGGGACGGTGGTTCCCCCAGTTGACAGGTAGTTATCCCTGCTTTCTAAAAGGCTGTATATTCCTTTAGGGGCAGCTCCAATTTCAATTCATCTCTCTCACAGTTCCAGGAAGTAGAAACTGGGCTACATGGGATTTTTATTTTAGAGAACAATTTACTCTGAGCCCTTTAGGTTTAAAGTTGACGAGGGCTGGGGGTATAGTTCAATGGTAGAGTGCTTACCTAGCATGCACAAAGCTCTGGGTTTGATTAGCAAAATGGGAAAGAACAGAAAATTCCCTTGTCCTCACCTTGATCAGCTCCTCACTGACTAGGGCACTAAAGGAGAAGCCTCAGCTACATATCTACAAAGAAAGATCACCTTAAGATTACTGCTTTTGGGCAGGGGATTTAGCTCAGTGGTTCTGCCGCCTGCCTTGCAAGTGCAAGGTCCTGAGTTCAATCCCTGGTACCAAAAACGAAAAAAAAGAAAGAAAGAGTGCTGCTTTTGGGCTGGGGATGTAGCTCAGCGCCTCTGCATCTGCCTGGCAAGCACAAGGTCTTGAGTTCAATCCCTGGTACTGAAAAAAAAATTGCTACTTTTACTTCACCCCCAGCCAATACAGGACAGAAAGATATTATGAAATTAAAGAAAAAAAAGCCAAGGGTGATGGCACATGTCTATAATTCCAGCACTCTAGAGGCTGAAGCAGGAGGACTGCCTCAAGTTTAAGGCCAGCTTGGGCTGCATAGTGAGTTCAAGGCCAGTCTGAGTTACATAGTGAGTGAGACCTTGACTCAAAGCAAAACAAAGAGGAAAGAAAAAACTAAGGGAAAAACTCTAAAAGTTTTTGTCCTTTAATTCTCCCTCAAACAACAGCAAAAGGACCGGGGATTTAGCTCCGTGGTTCCACCACCTGCCTTACAAGCGAAAGGTCCCGAGTTTGATCCCTGGTACCAAAAAACAAAAAGAAAAACAAAACAAAACAAAAAACCTGGTGCCATCTATCTCTTCTTGTGTCAGAGTGCAGAAGAGCAGCTGCAGAATCGTGGAGGTCCAAGCAGTGTTTAGATGGAGAAGATCTCGGGAACGGAGAAAGAGGACGGGAAGGGAGATTGCCTGTTTTGGCAGGAAATCCAAAAGTCATTTGGGACCACCCAGGAGTAGTGGTGTGGGTGGGGGATGCTATGTGCATGTATGCACATGTGTGTCCTGGGGCTGTGAGCAGGCAGGCAAGGAAACATCTGCTCTGGACCCCAGGGCTTGCCTAGAATGTAGGAGGGTCTGTGTAGGGCTAGGGGTAGGGTGGGGATGGTGTGTGGGAGCTCAGCAGGCAGGCAGGCTCCTCAAAACATCTGCTCTGGATCCTAGGACTTGCCAGCATTTGAAATAACTCAAGGGTGTGAGACTCCAACCTGGGCCCTGCCTCTGGGTACGGGCCAGAGCTGAGGGAGGTCTGGGGGAGCCTACAAATATAAATTTCCCAGGGAAGAACAGAGCAGAGTTTGAGTGTCAAAGGGCTGGCATATGAAACCAAACCTCAGGAAAGAAACCAGTCACACTGAAGTTATTAAGAAGAAATATTTTTTATCTAATACTTCCATTAGGAAGTAAGGATTCAGTCCCATCTGACCCTGGGTGTCCTCAAAGTACAGAGTCTGTGCTGCTTCCACACTAAATGGTTGCAGGGGCCTGGGTGTATGAGTCCCTTCCAGAGACCCAGCCAGATGATTCAATTTTCCCAGCCTTCCAGTTCTTTCTCTCTCCCTCCCTCCCCCCCACCCCCTTTCTGAGACAGGATCTCCTTTCTTCCTTAGGCTGGCCTTGAATTCTTGGGCTTAAGTGAGCCTCCTCCTCAGATTTCTGAGTAGCTGGGAGCACAGGCCTAACTTTTATTTTTTTGGGACTGGGGATCGAACTCAGGACCTTGTGCTTTCTAGGCAGGTAAGGTGCCACTGAGCTAAATCCTTAGCAGGCCTAACTTTTTAATTCTCCTGGTCAGAGGTGACCTCTCTTTGCCTTCTTTTTATTCTTTTTTCTTTTGAGACAAGGTATCGCTATGTAGTTCATAGTGACCTTGAACTCACTATGTAGGCCAGGCTGGCCTCGAACTTGCAACAATCTTCCTCCTCCAGCCTCCCAGGTGCGGGGATTACAGGTGTGCACCACCACACCTGGCTATCATCTTGCCTTCCTACACAACATAGTCATATTCTGCTTTGTATTATAGCTATCCCAGCACATACTACCTTCCTTGCTACTAAAAGATGGGTCTTGCCTTTTTAATCCTGTTGTACTGTAAAAGGTACACATAGAAGGTTGGCAATAAGTGCTAAATAAACACACATAATCACAGACAAATATATATATACCTATTTGCAGGTTGCTGCCACCTTGGGTGCCCATTTACGGGAATGGCAGGGCAGATGCTTATGCCCAGGTGCACAGGCTCCAGCCAGCAAACGCCACTTCAGATGCTTGGCCAAGCCTGCTAGGGCTCAGTGGCCAGCTCCTCATGCTGTTCTTGTCTTGGGCTTACCACGCCCCAAGTAGCTATGGGCAGTGTCAGTAACTCACCTTCTACCCAGAGCTGTTCCAGGTCTGTCTCAATAATGGCCACACGGAGACCCAGTGCCAGAGCCCCAAAGGCCAACAGTCCCAGGAAGAGCACCTTGCCACAGTGTCTCTGGATGCTGCAGCCCAGAGAGAAGAGCAGACGCTGGAAGTAAGCTCGAAGCCAGAGGGGAGCCTTCAGGCTTACAGTTAGGATCTGGGATAGAAAGAGAAGGGTCAGCCAAGGTGTCACTGGAACAATGCATGAAATTCTCTTCTCTCTATATATTCACCCTCTGCCAAGCCTTCTCTCTGCCTCTTGATTTCTGGGCGCAGGACAGGGATCAGCTACAGATTCAGGCCCAAACTTGGAAGAACTCCCTGGCCCACTGCCCTTCCACATCACACACTTGAGGAAAGTATAAACCCATTTTCTGAGAGTAGGATATGTATATTTACACATATGCCCAGTAGTCAGAGGTGAACCCAGATTCACTCTACGGTCGGATGCCTCCCCCCCACTCCCCACCTGGCACAGCCAGGGAAGTTCTCACTTGTCTTCAAAAAGATGCTCAATAGCACACAGCACTCAAAGACATCACACCCTGCAGAGGCCTGAGTGACAGACCTGGCTCCACTCTTCTTTTTTCCAGCTTCCCCTCTACTCACCTGAGATGCTGCGGGTGAATCTGGGGGCATGTAGTCGGGGGGCAGCTCTCTGAGGGGCGGCGGCCCAGCCATGCTGGCCAGATGGAGGGGGCGGGTGCCCCCAACCTGCGTTATCTGGGGTCTCTCATAGAATAGCCTGGTCTCGGTGCCGCCGGCCCGAATGGAGCTTCAGTAGGGCCGCGAAGGCTCCAGCGTGCGTGAGATCGTGGGGTGTAAAGTGAAGCGGCGGCTGTGAGAGGGAGGAGAGCCGGGCGGTGCAAGGTAGTGCGGGTCTTCAGCGAGGCGCCCGGGCTCCTGAGATCCGTGGGCAGTGGCCTGAGGCCGCCGGGGTGGGTTCCACGTGTAAGCAGAAGTGGCGGCCTGCGACGCACTCTGCAGCTCAAGCTGACTGCTGCAGTGTCCAGAAGACTTCCAGAGCCCCAGAAAAAGGGAGCAGGCCCGGGCGACGCCCTCCCATTGGCTAAGGGGCCGGCAAACTACGAGGAGCCCCGCCGCCTGGTCCGCTGCTAGGTAACGGCGCCTCAGGGGGCGGGGCCGGAGACCACCCAGGCAGGGCCACCCCCAGCCTCGCCCGCCCGCTGCAGGCTCCTCGGGAGGAGGAGGAGGGAGGGAGATCCCGGAGCTCAGTCCAGGCCAAAAGTGCGGAGACTGGTGCTGGGAAAGGGCGTCTGCTGGCCCCGATAGGGCCACATTTTCTTCCCGACCCAGCCCAAACCCAGACTACTTCTTTTCACTTTTCCTAGCCACCATTCTTCTTATTTAAAAACAAAAGTTCTCCCTGAGCACTATTCTTGTTCCCTTATACCAACTCAGGGTCCTTCCAGCCGTGAAGAGGCACCTAAATTTTTTAAACGTATCATCTTATCCCATGCGTTCCTGTCTTTTGTCTTTGCACATAATCTTTTTTTTCTTTTGAGACAGGATCTTGGCTATGTAATTCAGGCTGGCCTTGAACTGGCAGCCATCCTCCAGCCTCTGTCTCGTGTCTTGGGAGTGCTTTTGCACATAGTCTTCAAAACCGAACTTGAATTAATCACCTTCTCTTTGAAGCTTTCCTCGACTCACACCTCCCTTCTGACAGATAATTGCTTCTTTCTTTGTGGTCCTTATAACAATCAATTTATATATGCATTATTGCATTTATGATGAAATAACTTACATACAGTACTTGAAAGTGAGTGGGGCCAGGGATTTAGCTCAGTGGCAACCAGGCCTGCCTTACAAACCCAAAGTCCTGAGTTCGATCCCCGGTACAAAAAAAAAAAGAAAAAATTGAGTGAGTCAATAGAGTTGAAGAAATCAGGTGTAAAGGATGAGAAACAGGAAGAAGAGAGAAGAGTAGTTCCTCTATGAAGCTAACTTCATTTTTTTCTTCCTTCTTTTCCTTCTTCTTCCTTTTTCTTTCCCTCCCTCCCTTCTTTCTTTTTCTTTTTTTCTTTTTTTTGGTACCGGGAATTGAACTCGGGTCCTTGCGCTTGCGCAGCAGGCGAAACCACTGAGCTAAATCCCAGGCCCTATCTTTCTTTCTTGATTGAACCAGGGCTTTCACACTGAGCTACACCCCCAGCCCTTTTCTCCTTTTTGGCTTTTCTTTTTTTTTTTTTGGTACTGGGGATCAAACTTGGGTCCTTGTGCTTTCAAGGCAGGCGGCTGGACACAAACTTTCCATCCTTGTGCCTCAGCTTCCAGGGTATTGATTGGGATTATAGCAAGCATCACCAGATCTGGCTCCTCCATGAAACTTTCAACTATCCCATTTGAGTGGGTTGTGTCTGTCAGGTTCCTGACTGATAAACCCTGATGTGCCAGAGAAGGTTAAAAATCAGTATTCCCATATGTAAAGGTTTTTTTTTTTTGAGACAGGGCCTTGCTATGTAGTTCAGACTGGCCTTGAACTCACTATGTAGCCCAGGTTGGCCTCAAATTCATGGTGATTCTCCTGCCTCAGCCTCCGAAGTTTATGAAGGAGAAAAAGAACCTGCAATAAAAACGTCATTCTAACACAACTACTATTATCTCTGGCCAATTTCTTCAGTCATTTCTTCCAGACTTCTTTATCATTACATCATAAACATTTCATGTTTCTTCAGTCTTTGTATCAGTCACTTGGAGAATGTCCTTAGGACAGATTCCCAGAAATGGGGTTGCTTGGGTCAAAAAGTATATACTTGAACTTTTTTTTGGTACCAGGGATCAAACTCGGGTTGTTGCGCTTGCACAGCAGGTGGCGAAACCACTGAGCTAAATCCCCAGTCCAAAAGTATGAACTTTTAATGGTCTTGTTACACACTGGCAAACTGCTTTTTGCAAACTTGTGTAAATTAACTTCATCTTCAGTCTGAGTCCTGGGAAAAGGGAAACTTCAGGTTAAGGAGATGAACACCAAATAGCTTTGCCACTTCCATTTGTCCATTCCTCCAGCAAAATGCCTATGGAGGGATGGACATGTCCGACACTGGTGGCCAAGTGGAAATTGCACATGAAAGGCAGCCAACGTGCATACTATTTTCCTCCTCCCAGCCATAGAGGTGTGGTTCCACTCTGGATAAAGAAAGTGTATCCCTGACAAGTCTTTGGAAATATAAACGGCCCCTAACCTACACTGCTCTTAGGGCTACAGCGAAAGGCAGAGAATGGCCTGGAATCAGAGCAGGATATGATAACTTGGAGTAGAGTTGCTTTGCCTCATGAAGATCTTGAGATGATCTTCCTTCTTACCAGATTCTGCAGACTTAAGGTCTGTGGATAAATAGGTTTGTAATCACTCAGGCCTTGGACTCTGCTTCCATGACAGCCCCACCACTGCTAAGGATTGTGGTGAAGTCCAATATTTTTAGAACTGCTTCCAGGCAAGGCCTGCCTACTGGGAGAACCTCTTGCCAATCAGTCCAAAGACCACGTGGGAGAGATGGGTCTGCAGTTCCCAGCCTTTCCAACTTAGTGCTTAGTGCTTTCTGGCTATTTGAAGTCCCCAAATGACCTTTCTTTCCCTCAACAAAATGATTTCCTGAGTGCAGCTGAACTCAGTCAGAGCTAAAGCCACTGACCCCATGAAATTAAAGGGAAGGGAAAAAGAGGCTCCTCTTCTTTCTGGAAGCAGAATGACTTGTTTCATTATCACTTACACTGGATGAGGGTATGTGTTTGGTCCAAATTAGAGACATTCTCCAAAGAATAAGAAAGGAGAAAAGCAATCTAATTAAATTTATTATTATCAAGGATTAACTTTACTGATTCATGAGTCAAACATGTCTTGGGGTCTTTTATGCCCTTTGCTGAGCTGTGGTTTTAGGGTAAGTTGTTTTTGTACTAGTTCATAGCCTGAAGGAAGTACAGAGAACAGCACAGGAAACAACTATGAGCTGGGATACTCAGATTTCCAGAAGGGAGAGGAAATGGATTGGGGGTTGCTAGGACAGAGGCTAAAAGAAGACAGGCTGGGCATGGTAGCACAAGTCTGTAATCCCAGAATTTGGAAGGCTGAGGCAGGAGGATAGCTTAGACTACACAGTGATTTGAAGACCAGCCTGAACTATGGTGTACCAGGTCTGATGGCGCTGGTCTATAATTCCAGCACTCAGGAGGCTGAGGCAGGAGGATCACTGAGAGTTCAAGACTAGCCTGGACTATATAGTGAGACCCTGTCTCAAAAAAAGGGCATACTTAAAGGTCTGGATCTTTTGTTTACTGGCTATGAGACTGTCAGATCTTGGTTGTCATATAATCTCTGGCATTGATACAAAAATTGAATGAAATAAGGCCAGGGATGTAGCTCAGTGGCACCATACCTGCCTGGCAAGTGCAAGGTCCTGAGTTTGATTCCTGGCACCAGAAAAAAAAATTGAATAAAATAATATATATAGCTAAGGAACAGTGCCAGGGAAAATGAGGCAGAACACACACACACGCACACGTGTGCATGTGCACGTGCACACAGACACACACAGAAACACACACACACACACAGACACACCCACACAGACACACAGTGTGGGGGAGGTGGACAGCCTGGCTTTGGAGAGGGTCTACAAGGGAGTTAGAGGGAGCCGGCAGGCCTTCTCTTCCGAGCATTCCCTTGGGCTTCTCACTGACTGCTTTTTAAAAATTTTAATTTATTTTTTATTTTTGGGTACTGGGGATGGAACTCAGGACCTTGTGGTTGCGAGGCAGGCAGTGGAACCACTGAGCTAAATCCCCAGCCCTCTCACTGACTGCTTTGTGCTGGCTTCTATTTCTGGGCCAGGCAGAGTTAGCAATATGTGGTGGATGGAATTAGGAGCTCTGGGCAGCCCCCAAGTCCCACCATTCCCTTTAGGGGCCAACCTGGGAATTTAATCTCCTCTACAGGCAGCTTCAGATGAACAGTATCTATCAAGTCTCTGGTGCCAGAGGCTGCAGACAGAGATCAGAGGATGGTCCTTTACCTTGAGAGTGGGGGAAAGAGAGAGCGGAGGAACCAAAGCAGCTGTCATTTCCATGGAAGAAAGAACACTGTGAGGCCAGCCTGGGCTACATAGTCTGTGCAAGGCCAGCCTGAGCTACAAGGCAAGACCCTGTCTCAAAACAAAACAAAAGAACACTCATGCAATCCCCCTGGAAGACAGCTCAGGCCAAGGACAGATCATCCTGATCTCTAAAAGAATTTGTTCTTCCCCAGCCTTTTTCTCCAGGTCAGCTTTTAAACCTGCTGTTTGGGTGGTCCTTCCCACTTCCCCTCCTCTTCTCTCAGACACATTTAACTATTTTAGCTACCTTGCTTGCTTGCTTTCTCACTTTCTAAGATAGGGCTTTGCTATATTGCCTAGGCTGTTCTTGAACCCCTGGGCTCAAGTAATCCTCCCACTTCAGCTTTCTGAGTGCTGGAATTACTCTGTGTGTATGTGTGTGTGTGGCTTACATTTGTTTCTTCTTCTTTTTTTTTTTTTTTGGTACCAGGGATGGAACTTGGGATCTTGCCCTTGCAAGGCAGGCGGCTGAACCACTGAGCTAAACCCCTGGCCTGAGTGGCTTACATTCGTAACTTTTAGAAAACAGCACACAAGTTGGGCATGGTAGTACATGCCTGTTATTCCAGTACTTGGGAGGCTGAGGCAGAAGTATTGTCATGAGTTTTAGGCCAGCCCAGGCTACATAGTGAGTTTACGGCTAGCCTGAACTACATAGAAAGACCTTGCCTCAAAAAGAAAGGAACCAAGGAAGCAGCATACAAAGGCCTGGTTTATGTGCCTCCATAGGGGTAGGGATGGCTGTGGATAAATAAAATGCACTCTCTGCAATCTCTGGAAACAGAAACAGCCCCTAAACGAGGCTGTGTAGCACCTTAGCTTGCTGCTCTTGGGGCTGTGCTAAACACAATTTCTCTCCCTCCCTGAAGATGGCAATGCAGTGAAAGACTAGAAAGAAGTTCAGCTTATGGTCTTAGGACACAGGTGGCAGGGCAGTCCTGGCAGTCAGGCTCCTTACAAGTTCAGGGAATTCTTGCCAGTAGGCAGGGCTTAGGTGGTGAGAGTTCCTGGAGGAGGAGCCATCAAATTTTACCTAACCTGACCAGCTCCCAACTCCTTCTTTCTCAGCACCCTCTCCGAGTCCTCCCTGGTTCAGTGCTGAAGGCCTCATTGATACTCTTCCTTCATCAAGCAGTACTGAGAGATGGGGCTGACTGGTATCTACTCTTCTCCCTGCTGAGCTTCTCAATGGACATTCAGTTGCCCACTACATTTCAAACATAAACTTTCTGTAGATGCTACCAAAAAGAAAAAAAATCCCCCCTGCCAGCTGCTGGCAGACAAATAGAGCAAAGAGAAGAAAAATCAAAGCATATTGGGCACCCAGCCAATTCTAGCATTGTTAGGGACAAGAGTACAAGTGTCCTGCTTCTAGCTGGAACTCAGACTCAGTAAGGCCTTCTGGGGAGCCCTCACCTTTTCTGTTTGCTCCAGATTCCTGCTTTCCTCAGTGCAGGGGCTGATTGGTGGACTTGTGCAATGAGGAGGCAGGGGAGAAGTTTCCCTCTACCTCAGTCAGGGCTTCGGAGGGCTCAGTGGGGAAGGACAGGAAGGGGTGTGGGAGGCTCTGGGGCAGTCTAATCAATCCCCTCTCCTCCTCTATCCCACTTCCCCTCCAAACCTACCTAGCTTCATCCCCTTTTTGAAATCAAGGAACAATCTTTAGACCTCCTGGGCCACCCAGACCAGAAAGGTGAGAAAGGGGACAAAACCTGAGAATGGGAAGAGCCTCTAAAAGTCACCTAGCCAGGTATGATGGCGCATGCCTGTAATCCCAGCACTTGGGAGGCTGAGGCAGGAGGATCACCTTGAGTTCGAGGGCAGCCTGGGCTACACAGTGAGTTCAAGATCAGGCTGACTTACACAGCAAGACCCTGTCTCAAAAAAAAAAAAAAAAAAAAATTCACCCCACCTAATGCATTTTGGAGATGGGGAAACGTATGGTAAAAAGAGGCAGTGATTTGGTCAGAACCATAAAACACTGCAAAGCCCGGGTCTTCTTTCATTCAGGCCAGGAACTTGTTTCCAGCACTAGCTGGGCCCCACAAACTTCATATCAGCTCCAAAGAGATCATCTTGAGCACTAGTACAGTTCTTTATCCTCATACCCCCTCAGTCCTACTTGTTTCAACCACTTTTGCTGGGACATGTCAGCTCCTGGCTGGCTAGGGCAAACTTTTAGGAACCTTGTCCTAGTCATTGGGAAGAATGAGAAGCTCTAGAGCTCCCAGGAAGGCTGGTGGAGGTGGGGCTCCCCCAGGGTAGGAATGTTCATTGACTCTCACACAAGTGCAGTGAGAACACTAGGATCGTGCAAGACTGCTCAGGTGAACTTGAGAGCCTTGAGATTTTTGAAGTAAAGTAGAAACCAGTATTTCAAACCATTCCTTATAATTACTGCCACCCACAGTGAGGACATCAAGGGAAACCTTTACTTTGATAATTCTAGAAGATGAAATCTCACCCCAGGAGCCTCTTTTATCTTCCACCAAACACCTGCAAGTTGTACATCAGTGAAGGGAGAGAGGAGAGCAGAGTGTACTTATGTTGGGGGTAGGAGTGGTGGATAGAAAGTGGACAGGACTCCAGAGAGCTGTGAATAGAAATCTCATTCCTTAATTATCTGAAGCAGCAGTGTCTGTATAATTAGGACATAAAAAACACATCTAGAGGAGTCAGGAAGAACTTCAAACCATGATACTGGTTCCTGGCTCTTCTTTACCTGGCTGCACAGTCCTGACCAAGGGGACGAAGAGAGGGGTCTGGCATGGCTCTCCATAAAAACCTGTGGGGATAGGCTAGTTGTCTAGACAGGAGCTGCCCTCTTGATTGCTTTCAGAGGCTCCAAAGCTCAAGAGTCAAGTTGGAGGGCTGGGGATTTAGCTCAGTGGTTCTGCCACCTGCCTCGCAAGCACAAGGTCCCGAGTTCGATCCCCAGTACCCCCCTGAAAAAGAGTCCTCCCCAGTATCCGGCCCCCCCCAAAAAGAGTTGAGTTGGAGAAAGTGGTGATAAGCTGGAAGGATGGGAGTGAATGGTAGAATAGTCACAGGTGCTGGTATCTGTGTGGCAGGTATTGGAGCAGAAAACAGTGAGTCCTAGGCTGATGCTCAGGGATGGCATTACTAGCAGCAAGGCCCATGGGTACAGAAAGCATGATCAGCATCATGGACTGAAGTACTCTAGGTCATTCTTAGGTCAGAGATGCCTTATGGGCTGGGCTGAGCCAGCCAGTCAGAAAGTAGCTTCCTATCACTTAATAGCTGCTTCCCCAGCCTGATAACCTTGGTACATAAGAGGTAGGCCGCTGTGTTATCTTGTTCCACACATTTGCTCTGAATGGTCTTTACCATGTCACACGTGAACAGTTACTGTACACCTGCAACCCACTCGATGCAAAGCCTGGAACTGCTCCAAGTGGAATGTGTTTGGAAGTCCTTCTTTATTGGAAAATAAATACAGAGTCAAACAGGTGGGCCAGCCAACATCTGTAGTTTTGGATGCCAAAAAGAAGGAGTCTGACTTGCTTGGAATTCAGATTTCCATGAGCTGGTCATTTCCCACAATCACCTCATTTGTTCGTTTTGCTACAAAAGAAAAGGAAAAGGTTTCTGAGAAATGGCAGGAAAAGATGTAATTACAAATCCAAATGCTTTTAATTCTGTGTCAGCAAATATTTACTCCTCTCTATTATGGCTCTGTTCCTGAGAAGCTTTTGGGACTATGATGTGCTGAAGGGGCTGTGAGAGGGACATCATCTTCCTTCGTAGAAGAGTGGAACTGATTCTCTAAACCCTGGCTTTGGGGAAGCTTCCATAGGAGGACATCTGAAGCTGGGTCTCCAGCATAAGGGATGAATAGAATTCTTCCAGGCAGCAATCAAAAGAAAGGCATTCTAGACTGTTAGATCAGCATGGGCAAAGACATGGGGATGTGGGAAAGGGGAACATGAAATACTTCCATGTGATCAGAGGATAGGAAACAAGGAGAGAAGAAATGAGGCTAAAGGATAAATGGAGATACTCAAAGGAGAAAGCGAAATAGCTCGTATACATTATGGAAATACAGAAGTCGTCCTTTATCTGTGAGGGATAGTGCGAAGATCTTCCGCAGATGCCTGAAACTACAGAAAGCACCAAGCCCTATATATACGATGTTTTCTCCTATGTATGTTTTTAATGCATTCTTGTGATAATTTAATTTATAAATTAGGCACAATAAGAGATTAATGAGAACTAATTAAAAAATAGAACAATAGTAATAATACACTGTACCCAAAGTTATATGAATGTAGTGGTCTCTGTGTCTCAAAATGTCTTATTTTCACTGTATTCACCCTTTTCCCTAAGATGATTTAAAATAATTCAGTGTTTACAGGACGAGATAAAGTAAGGTGAAAGATGCAGGTATTGGCCAGGTATGGTGGCACACACCTGTAATCCCAGCACTTGGCAGGCCGAGGCAGGAGGATTGCCATGAGTTTGAGGGCAGCCTGAGTTACATAGTATAGTGAGTTCAAGGCCAGGCTGAACTGCACAGCGAGACCCTGTCTCAAAAAAAAAAAAAAAAAAAAGACACAGGTGTTTGACAAACTGTTAAGGTTTCTTGAACATAAGCATTGAGATATCATGAAGGTGGGTCTGATAGCCAAGATGGCTACAAAGTACCAATATGGGGGGAGTGTGTACAGCATGGATATACTGAACAAAAGATGATTCTCATCTTGGATGTGATGGAGTGGAAGGAACAGCATGAGATTTTAACATGCTACTCAGAACAGAAGGCAATTTAAAACTTAAAATTTGTCTAATTCTTTTTTTTTGCAGTACTGGGGATTGAACCTAGGGGCTCTGGGATGAGCTATAGCCCCAATCCTTTTTATATCTGAGACAGGATCTTGCTAAATTGCTAAACTTCCTGGCTAAACTCGAACTTGCCATGTTCCAGCCTCAGCCTCCCTCAGTGCTAAGATTACAGGCATGCACCACTACAACTGTCAAATTGTTTATTTTTGGAATTTTCCATTTAATTTTTTTTTTTTTTTGGTACTGGGGATCAAACTTGGGACCTTGTGCTTGTGAGGCAGGCAGCAGAACCGCTGAGGTAAATCTCCAGCCCTCCATTTAATATTTTTGACATATGATTGATTGAAAGAGCTGAAACCATAGAAAGCAAAACCATAGAGAGGAACTACTATAAAACTGCCTACTGTTGTAATAAATTAATGAATTAAAGGATAAGTGAGTACTCAGTAAATATTGGTTATTATTATTTTTTGTGAAGTCCTAACTCTTAAGGCCCCTCTATGACCTGACCTATGCCTATCTCTCTAGCTTCATCTCCCACTATTCTCCATTTATACCAAAAAGACATGCAGGGTTCTTTTTTTGTTTTTTTTTTTTTAAGGCAGGGTCTCGCTACATAGTTTAGGCTGGCCTTGAACTCACTATGTAGCCCAGGCTGGCCTTAATCTGTCTGTGATCCTCCTGCTTCAGCCTCCTGAATGCTGGGATTACAGGCTTCCCCCATCAAACTGTAACCCTAATCCAGCATCTCTACTACACGATATCTTCCTTTACTATTCTGGCTTGTATCTAGACATCCCCTCAAAGCCTCATGTGGTCATAGGTGGGGCTTTTTGGAGGTGGCTGGATCTAGGGTATGTAATGATGGGATTAAGGATATGATGTTGAGGTTAATGGGGTGATGGTAGGTTAAGAGTGTCCTACCCAGAGTGTGAGTGCTACCTGCCCTAAGGATGTGTAGCTTGGATAGAATACAAGGGAGAGAAAGGACTGCTCCCATAGCTTGCTGCTTCTTTGCTGCTTTGGTGACTTCTGCATGCCCTGAACTGTTTCTCCTCTGTGATGCCCCTCTACTGTGCTACCTTGCCTTGGAGCCAGCCAACTATGAGCTGAAACCTCTACAAACTGTGAGCTACAATATACCTTTCCTCCTTTAACTTTGGGTGCTGGGTATTTTGTCTCAGCAGCAAGAAAAGTAACTAAGACAATTACTATATGGTACCTTCCCTTTTGAACTATTCACTTTCTGCTTTATGAAACCACTGTATGTATCTAATACATACCTTTAACTCTACATCATATTGTTCTCTATTTCACCACAAGAACCTTGCAGGCAGTAAAGGAACAGTGTAGTTATTCATAGTATCTTAACAGTTACTGACACATGAATGATTTCAGTGGTTTGGTGTAATGACAAAGATAGGGTCTGGTCATGTAAGTGTAGAGCTAAAGTTGAAAGGAAGTAAAGTTTAGTAAAGAAGTTCAGAGAAGAGTTGGTGATGTAGATCAGGTATAGAGAGCATCCATAAGGCTCTGGGGTTCAATCTCAGTAACACACACACACACACACACACACACACACACACACACACACACAGAGTTCAGGGAATCATAAACTGGGCCAGTGGTGCACACCTATAATCCCAGTA